GCTGGTGGTTGTTGCTTTATTTTTGTGAGGCTGTGAGGAAAATTAGTTTTTCCGTGATATTCGCCCTTTAAAATAAAACTTTGTAAAACTAACAAGGTTATAAGTTTTAAGAATTCATAACGAGACATAGCCCCTGTATCAATGGCAAGACAACAAACAGATGAGATGTCTGACCATGTCTGAGGGCAGAGTTGGCCGGGCATGTCCGTGATATTAATTGTACAAACTCAGGCCAGCAGCTGGCTGTCGTTAATGAATCACAGGCAGTGGTAAAACGGAGGAGTGCAGGCTGTGTGTAGTGAGGGACAGTCTGGTCTCTTTAAAACACCTCACTGAGTATCACAGAGTGAGCGGTAAGAAAGCAGCGAGCTGCTCCGTAACAGCAGCGCACGTGCAATGAGCCAGCAGAGGAGAAAAATGTGTATCAATTAGACGGAGAGTCGCCCAGCTCCATCACAAGACATTAGGATTGTTTAAGGGACCGCAGGGTGAAGCGGGGAACATTTTACAGGGAGCACCACTCACAACATCCTGTCAGATTGATTAGCAGTCTGTCAGAGTGGCTCTCAGCTGTAAAATGGGATTCAGAGCTGATTTGGCTGAACGTGGAGCCGGAGCCATCCACAGTGCGGAGAAAGCACTACAATTTTAGATCACTGACTGGAAAAATACGCTTGTTCTGAATTCAGCCAGCCTGAGCATCCAGTAGGGGACAAGCTCTGCAGACAAATTCCAGAATTGTTCATGTGGATAAAGAAATTGCTGAGATATTAATTGGAGGTACCTAATATTGTTAAAAGGATCAAAAATTCAGCGTGATGACAGTTCTCCATATGAGAACCGCCCATTCTGCCAGCCACTTTTATGGTATACATAAGGCTGTACAAAGGTTGATGTTGTTGTTGAATGTTTATGAAGACTACAAAGCAGTTGCTGTGATGTCTGTGCATGTTTCAGCTACTGTGTGGAGGTCTTTCCTCTTCCGTTCATCACTGCTCTACTGCTTTTCCCATGCTGCATTGCTTCTGATTTTACTCTAATAGCTGAAAGTTTAAGCCTTTTCAAAACTATAGAGTTTTCTTCCATAAAGAAAAGAATAAATGTAACAAGGTCTGCTTCCCTTATTTATTTTCCTTTTTTTCCCCAGGAATGCTCTTGGCGCACATGTACAAAATGTTACAGAAGGAAATACTGTAGAATGTGGAAGGTGAATTCCACAGGTTTTTTAAAATGGCTGCATAATTCAAGCATTGAATTGTGAACAAAGTCAGAGTGGTTTAATGTGAAATGCACAATTCTAAATAAACTTATAGACACATTTCTTTACAATGGTGGTGATAGGAACCAGCAAACAGCATTTTTATTTACTGTCCAAAACAACCTGTGAACCTAAATGTATGAGTTATTAATGTAATATTGATAATTGTAAAATACTGTTAAATGTGAAAGTGTTTCTCTTTGCTTAGTTTTTTCCCCCTTTAGGCACTATTTTGCCTTAAATGTGTACTCTCTCTTTTTTTAATGTGTTTCAAGCATGTACCTTATCTCAACACTATCATAAAACAATGTCTCAGACATCAGACAAAGAATTATCTGTAACCATTTCATGTGAAGTAGATTTTAGAGCTGCTTAACACTTCGGATGTCTGGTTCCCATCACCACCATGGTGAATAACATGGTAAGTTTCTCTAGAATTGAGAATTCCACATCAATCCACTCTGAATGACTTTGTTCTTATTTTAATAATCAGTTATGTAGAAATGTTGAATAATCAGTGGAATTCCCTGTTAAGCTTTCAGTTTTATTCTGAGTATTTACAAAAGGAAAAAAAACTTTCAACACCCAAGAGTCCTGTTTCCTGAGTAAGACTCAGGGAGCTCAGTGGGTATTTTGGCACTATTAGTTTTGTGGTGTAAAACCATGCAGCACTTTATATGTTGGCTATAAAGTTTTAAAAAGCCAGCCAGGAAGCCAATGCTAAATGTTAAATTCAGTGTAAACCAGCCAAAACAAAGATATGCATGCAACTAAAGCATTAATGTTAATCTAACTGTATCTAATTGTATTGAAATTAAGTTCTTCATCAGTAAATTACAGAAGTGATCAACCTGATTTTTATATTTTAATTGCTACTGTTCTTCTATGCTGTCAATTTGAATGAACAGTTCCAATAATTCTTCATAAAAATGTGCAAATTGATGAAACTGATCCAGTCGTAGATCTGTGTAAGTACCCATAGATGATACAGTTAGAAAAGTCTCCTCTGTCTCCTTCAGTACAATGTATATATGCTTAATAAAGAATATATAGGAAAATCGGGAACCCTTTATTTGAAGGCTGTCTACAAAGTGACTACATGCATAAGTACTGAATAACATTTATGACCAGCTTATGTTAGTAACTGCAAGTTGGCATAAGATGTTCTATGCAGTAAATGACACTGCGTTGATTTAAGGGATCTTAAACTAAATTGATGGACATTTGTTCCATTTACATCACTATTATGAAACATTATTCCATTCCATTACTTGGGTGGGATTTAGAAGGGAGGTCTAGTTTAGAAGTTTCTATCAGTTCTATGTAGTTCTACATGAGTTAAAGTACAGAATGTATGTCAATACAACATCACTTACTTCAGCTTATGGTGTTTTGGGATTACTGGCATAAGCTGTTCATAAACTCACAAGTATTGCTTTATGTCATTCAGTGCTTATGCATGTGCTATAATGTCCTTATGCTGATAGCCTTCAAGTAAAGTGTTACCAAAAAATCTAAATGAATCATGATTTAAAAAAAAATTACTGTTGCTTAAAGCAGGGGCAACACTAGAGGTTCATGGATAGGGAGCTAAGCCTGTGCTAGGGGCTCTGGGGGCATGCTCCCCAAAGAGAATTTTTTAATGGCCCCAAAATGTTTATAATGCACTTTTAGAGTAGCAACAGCCAGAAAATGTCAAGTACATTAGCCGTGTTAAGTATATATATATATATATATATATATAAAAAGGGTTATTTGGTCAAATTGGCACACAGTAGATCTGTCTCTGCACAGAGCCAGTATAACGCTTTATCCATCCACTTACAACAGGCACAGATCACACATAGATCAAGATCAGATTTTGCCCTGTATGCATGTTTAACAAGCTAGGTTTCATGGCCATGGTAACAAATATTATGTTTTCTCAGTTAAGTTAAATTAAATTCAATATTAATTTTAGCCTTGCTTTCTTCTTGATCACTAACCTCCATCAGATCTGCTTCTTCAGTCTTATCAGTCTCCTTCAGCTTCTTTCTCTCCCTCTTTTCCTGTGTTTAGTAATACATTCATTTTATTAAACTCAGTTTTACAATAACTCAAAGAAATAATGACCAATCAGTTTAATTGTTTTTGTCTTAACTGTTAAAATCCCAGCTGACTGGCCTTCGATGGAGCTGCTGCCTCTTTACTTTCATCTACAGGTTGAGGTGTTCATGGATATAAACTGTGTTATAATGACCTTTTCACACAAAGCTTAATCAGCTTTTTGGTTGAATTTTTCAGTTCCACCTTAAATGCTGCAGCTGTTACATTTGAACAAATAGGAAGCCAAATTCAGCCTTGTCCTTTTCATTAATTTTCATTAATGCCCTGACATAACTTACTGTAAACAACAAACAATATGGCAAATACTGGCATCATTGTTTTCCAAATACTGAAGAGAAATCTAAAAAAAAAAAAGAAAAAAAAGAAAAAGTACAAAGAGCTGTCAATAACGCTGTTTCTATCCCTCATTCGTTCACACTTTCACACTCACTATGAAGTGGGGTTAAACAAGTTGGCTAATGTTTTTTGTAGGTAACCTCTTTACCTCATTTAAACCCAAAGTTAGCTAGCTAACTAGCTAAAGTTAACAAGCAACCAACTACAAAGCACAAACTCAGGCCAGATCTAAACATATTACATATTAAAAAGAAAGACAGCTAATCCTGGTCCCACTCTGAAGATATATAAAAGCCAATCTGTTCATCTATTAGATTTATTGCATGTAAATCTGGTCACTACATTATGATACATACATATGTATGAACTATGCATATGTAGATATCATATATATATATATATATATATATATATATAATTCTATTCACTTTTTTTCATGTATAATTAAATAGTATTATTCTCATTAAGGCTGTGACAGTAATTATGTATCAATGCAGTTTTTATAAAGTTAATTTATAGCCTGGAAATTCGGCAATCATATTGTGTCAAAGATGAAAATAGAAGATTACTAAATTAAAGGACCTGTGGTCAATAGATACCTGAAGGCCTCTGCTGGTCAGTAGAGACTGTGTCTAACGGAAGGCCTCCAGTCAGTAGAGAATGTGGCTATGGTCTCTTGTCAATAAATACTGTTGCCATTATAATAAATGTTATTTTGATGTAACATGGCCTTTTCTAAATGTTATAACAGGACTAGGGCAAATGGAAGAGTATATGCACGCTACTAGAAGAAATAATACCACCACTTTGTAATCAATAACATGGAAAAAGTCTTTTCTTTTCTTTCCATATTCAGATGTTAAGTCAGAAGAAAGCTTAGCTCTAAAATCTTATCATTATATCTAAACAATTTTTTTTTTCATAGTTCATGAGCTGTAATGCAATGTTGAGATTTAGTTTATGTGTAATTTCCTTTTGCAGGTCTAAGGGGATAAAATGCATCAGGTTTTATACAGTGGTATACAAAAAGCATTGATTTTCTAACTGGAAAAAAAATTTACCATCCTCTACAGGAGCTTAAAAATAACATTTTCATCAAATTTTAGAGCACAATTTTTATTTATTGGACATATTGGAAACAAATATAAAGTGTGACAAGACTTTTGCACAGGCCTCGTGTTTTTTCCCCGCCTGAATGTTAAAGCCAGCAAATAAACAACAAATCTGTGTTAAAATGTGCAGAAGTGAGTACTCTGTAGAGGATATGTAATTGTTTTTACTTAGAAAATCAACAAAACATGTAATTTAACCAGAGGTGCTCAAACTTTCACATATGACTGTACTTAGTCGTGCTTGTAGCTACAAAACTAAGGAGTTCCTGCTAAAGTATTCATCATGTTCACTGCTGTCACTGGACAGATCCTGAGTAAAATATAGCACAGAATACAGTGCAGAAAAAGGGAATAGACATGTCTTTTAAAAAATATTAACATCAGTGTTTAAATGTATGAAGCTGTATGATGTCCCTGAAGGGAACAAGGAAATATCTAAGTATAGGAAACAAGAGTGGAAACACAGAAGCAGAGCATGCTAACTGGATGCCTGCACTTTACATGCTTTTCCTTAGACTTCTATCTTTCTTTGTTTTAGCTTGTTTTTCCTTTATAGTTTTTGCAGAGGCTATGTTCCCATCATTGATTGCATGTTCTTACTTATTGAGCTAATACTTCCCCCACCATTGACATCTACCCAATTCTGGGCCTACCTTTTACACCTGTGCTTCACACTGTAAAAACAAACCAGCCTCTCCTCCAACGTGCTGTATTCGGCAGACCAGCTCTTCAAATGTTCTCTGGCAGCAGTAGGAAGCAGGTGAAAAAATAGAAGTGTGCTGAACTTTCAACCGAGGAGCAGACTTGTTGACTGAAGTTGTGTCCTGGGGTCAGCCCTCACTCAGCAGTAACTTTCAAGAAGAGCCAGCATGTGAGAGATGCCCCTTGGGGATGGCGTCCAACCTCCTTTGAAGCTTTCGTTGCGTGCTGTGCTGTTTTCTTTTCGGCCACGGCCGCTGGCTTCCTGCTTGGGGTGACCCTTGGGCTCCTGCACATCACTACGCGCACTTGCAAAACACCTTTCTTATATTAACTACAGAGGAATTGGAGGCAACGAAGGACCGTGATCCATACTCACGAACATGTTACTTTGATACTCTGGAATGTGGGTAAACAAACACACTAACAAAAGCCAACGAGCCAGCAGTAACCTCATACCTTCGTGTCTCACTGACAGTAACTGACATTTTAAAATGCAATTTGTTAATATGACCAGAGTGGCACATTCTTGGTGAATGGCCAATTATAACATACTTTACAATTACAAACTCAAACAGACTAATAAACAGAGGGCCAGCTGACATAACATGGGGTCAAAGATGAAAGACTGGAATGAAAGACAAGATGGTAGATATGTTCCACATGCCTTGAGAGTACAGGCCACATGTAACAGAAAAAGTTGCCTGTTACAAAGCCATAGCTCAGGGCTGAAAACACCTAAGACAATAACTGTTTTGCATCTATTAAAAAATGTGCCCATACAAACTGTATAGTATAAATTAGGAAATTTTCTTTAATTATTTTCTTGGTGTGGACATTATACAAAGGTGGAATTCAAACACGCGCACACACACTTCATATATATATATATATATATATATATATATGACCATCACAACCCATGTTAACCAGCTGTCTTTTGCCGCTGCTCAAGCTTGCGTTTCAGCATGTTGTAGTTTTCATTAGTCCCTGGAGCGCTGGGGTCCAGTTTTAAAGAGAGTTCATAATGCTTCTTAGCCAAGTCCAGCTTCCCCCAGCGATGGTACAGCACAGCTACAACAGCATAAGAAGTTCCTTAATGTCATGAACATTAAAATAACCCATCAATAGCCTACTTTAAGTATAGGACGCTGATCACTGCTCTCCAGCTTTGTTCACCGATTTATACCAATAATAGAACAAAAGTAAGAATTTTAACAAGAGTTCTAATGGCAATATCTAAAAGCAGCCCACAGAGATGGAACCCCAATACGGTGCAACATGTCTTATGAAAGACTTACCGAGATTGCCATGGCAACTGGCAGCATTGGGGTTGATCTTCAGTGCATTTAGAAAAAAACCTTCCGACTCCTAAAGAGAAAATGAACATGACTTGCGATAATGGTGTGTTTTCCACAGCTAGTTCCAGTAAGTGGAAGCATTTGAACTGGGACATCACATTCTTTTTTTCTTTATTATAAAACGTTTTGAGCAATATATCTTTACTGCACATTCAGGGTTGCAAAAAAATTACATGCTTCTATTAAAAAAAAAAAAAGAAAAGCAGTGGGAAAAATACCTTGTATTTCTGCTGTTTTCCCAGCACATTGGCTAAGGAGAACATAATTGTGTGGTCTTTAGGTAATATCTTCAAAGCCTCTTTTCCTATTAACTCTGCTTGAGCCAGGTTGCCTAAAATTAAATTAACAGAGGAAAAGAATGAGTGATTAACAAATACACTGTTACATATCTTTATGTATATGTATATATACATATGTATATATATATATATATATATATATATATATATATATATATATTATGTATAGCCTGTGTAAATTATCAAACACTTGCATGATCTGAGGACTTGATGTCAGCATAAAAAATGGAGATGGCATATTAGTATCGATGGATATTGGTTTCAGGTTTATGTACAATATCAGCTGAAAATACGGGATCGAAAATCAGAGGAAAAAAGAATTAATCTGACCAAATTCTGTAACAAATCTGTTCTGAAATAGCTCACACTTACACTGTGTGATGTGATGTTAGCTGTTTGTTTCTTCCAGTCCAGTAACAGGGTATCTGAGTAGTTTGAGGTTTCACATTACAAATCCAATTTTTTTGCTTTAATGTGGAACAGATCTGATGTTTTTAGAGCTGTGTTGACACATAAATGAGCATTTTAAATCAGATCTGGATTTTCCCACTGCACATGCATCATTTACAGTTAACGTGACGGCATCACCCAACTTAAAGTTAACGCCAGTGAACACTACAAAAGCAATTCACCTTTTTTTGCTTTTGTCTTGCTCTAATAATGAACAGAGAGCTGTTCAGAACAAATTATCAGGCAATAAAGGCTTGTTCTGGTAGTCAGTTTGTTGTATATGTTCATTAACATGACGTCCTTAAATTGGATGTGTACAATCAGGTCATTCACCGTAATGGGCATAGGTTTGTCACATAATTGACAAGTGACTTACCTACACCAATTATAAACCACTAAATTACAAAGTTCAGATCTGAGCAAAAAATCAAAACTGAACAATGAGTCTGTGTCATTAATGTAAATCTAGCCAAGTGGTTCACATTAATCTCTCATATTAAAGCTTTTAAAGGAAAAATATTGGATCAGTGAATATGCAAGATGTCAACATCAAAATCAGAAAATAAACAGTGGTATCATGTTACCGCTAATTAAAAAAAAACAATGAGCCACAATAATGCTAACAAAAAATAGAAAAACGATGTTTTGTAGTAGCCTGCTTTATACGTATGGAGCAGCGCCTCATTTGTCAGCAGTGTCCACATGAGTTTTTCCTCTCTGCACATGGTCGACTGCTTTAGCTTCCTAATTAGGGTTCAACACAAGGGCTACTGACTTATTGATCTGGGTGTCAAAACTCGCTCTAACCACAGAGTCAGAAAGGTCCCATCATTCTGGCTGGCCCTTATCTAATTCATGAGCAGCAGAGAACCTCCTTGGCTGCAGGAGTCTGAACATGACTCATGCTTTGCACCCTGGCACTCTGTTTCAGCTGTCCTCCTGAGGCAAACAAGGACGGGAAGAAATTAATTTCCAATTTTTTGGTAATTTACTTTGAGCGGTCTTGGGACAAGATGAGGCTGAAAAATGCAGAGGGAGAAGTTACTGGTGCCAAGATTTTTTTTTTTTTGGCAAAGAAAACACAGCATGCCAAGGCACTCCGGGGAGCACCAACCTGGCTGGGAGAAGTGTCTGCTTAAAGAGTTTCTGTCTGGGAATCGGGGGCATTCTCCACACGGCAGGGGAAGACTAGCTTTAAAACAACACACAAAGCTTTTAATACATAAATTTCAAGCATTGCTGATTCCTGCTCTTCCGGTCTAATCATGTTGGGGGCTGAGTATCATTTGAAAATTCTTCAATACTGATACTTTGAATTAGACACGAATAGTAAAATAATACTTTTCTTGGATGCCTTCTAGCATGAAAACTCAATGTAATTTTAATAGCCTACTTTTATTGACATATGCCCATTTAAATTCCCAGCAAGAAACGAGCAATCCTAATTAAATCATTAAAAAATCTGATGAGGTAATTTGTCTAGTTTAGCCTTTATAAATGTCTGTATAAGCTTATGTAGCTGTCTTGTAGCCTTAGGAACACTGCCCTTCAGTAAAGTCTTACTGAAAAAAGTTTTTTTTAATGTTTTTTCACTGTTGTTTACACTGGATAAACCCAATAAGCATGGTTCTAGTCAATCTTTCTGGTGAGAGTAGAGGACACTGACCGTGCCAGAATTTTACCATTAGTTTCATGAAGTATTTTTAAAATTGTTGCATTTATCAAACCCAGGATTTCTGAGGGTCATCTTTGCCACTGGTTTGCAGTGACTTTGGAAATTGATAACTCCAGCCAAGTTTCAGTTTTGCCAACATGTTTCAGTAGCGCAGTAGTACTGATATGATTTGAGACCCAGACTTCAGTACCCAGCTCTAGATTTATATTGATATTTCAAATGAATAAAAGCCTCCTTGTACATCACCTATTCAGCCTTTGATAAAAAGAGATTTGTGAAGACAACCACAAACCCATTCCTATAAAATATACTAAATACTAAAAATACTATACTAAATATACTATAAATTCTATAAATAGTATACTAAATATACTAAAAAAAACTTTCATTAAATTTAAACTAAGCTTACATGTAATTATCAAATATACTGTGAAAAAAAAGAAGACAGTATATCTTAGGGCAACTGTAATTATATTATTGGGCTGGAAAAGAGCACTGGAGAGTAGTTACTTGAGTTAACGGCCTGTGTAGTTCCCTTATCAGCCGGAGGGTGGGGGAGGGGGGAGGAAAAAAGTTAATTGGTGTAAAGGGTGGACTAATTATGCGAGATGGCCCCATGTGTCTGAGTGCACCTGATGCTCAGCATCTGCAGAATGGAGGTTCACACCTCTCACACACACAGAGCTGTGGCCGGTAGCTATACTTGGGACTTGGGAGGTGGAGAGAGAGAAAAAAAAAAAAAGCGAGTGAGTAGGTTTGGGAGGAGGCAGAGATCATTTCCTTTCCCCCCCAAGGGGTTGGTCAAGGGCACGTCTAATGAGAACACTCACTCAGGTTACGCTTATGACACTCTCCATCCACACTTTATATTAGCACATAGTAATCTAAATTTGGTCAGTTTTTACCTCACATCACATGCCATGAACAACAAGCTGATAAGCAGTCATGAATGGAAAAGCATTGCAAGCTTCTAAATGAAATAATGTGTACAAACAGTTTGCATAGCAGATGAGTCGCTTAGAAAAGAAGTCCACAATTCTGTGACAAGACAAGCATGGTTTTACATATACTTATACTTCACATATATGTGTAATATCACATATACTTCAGTGTTACAGTTGTTTTTCTTGTGGTAGGGCTTGTGGTGTTTTGAAGGCATACTATTCCTAAAAGTATTTGCTTCATACATTCTATATGTAATATGACTACCTCTTATTTAGAAGGCATGAGCAAGATAAAACGTTTACTATAGAGGACGTGCTCTGCCAGAATACTGTAATATTCTAACCATAACTGGAATACTAACAAGCATGTAAATGTAGCCTCATTGTTGCCAGTGGATTCCTGGTGTGTCTCACAGAGCCAATTACACCTGGTGTATCAGTATTGTGTGTTAGTACCACGTTGACAAGTTATTGCAGGGGGACTGCTCTTACAATTTGTTAGTAAATATTGTTTCTATAGAAACTTGCCTATTATAGTGACCCCCATAACAATATCATTGCTCACTCAACATACCAGTGTTGTCCAACAGTATAACCATGTTGTTCCACGCTAGGCTGTGATCAGGCTTCAGCATGGTGGCATTCCTCCAAGCATTCAGAGCATCTACATGACGATTCAGATCTGCATACTGGTAAAGTACAATCAAGACTTAATAATACACTTTTAATTGTTTCATTGTTATCACGCTTCAGAAGAAGTCTTGTCTTTGATTTTAAAGATGATGCACAAATAAAGAGTATTCTGATTTTGTTGCAAAAAGACAGGAAAAAAATGGACAGAAAAGGAATAAAAAAAAAAAAATGCTTACCAGTCGGCCCAAATTGTAGTAGCAATCTGGATACTTCCTCCTGAATTTAATAGCATTCCAGTAGCTTTGCTCTGCGTCTTCAAACTTCTTCAGGCTGTTCTGCACAATACCCAGATTCATCCAAGCAGCAGCAAAATCAGGCCTGCATAAAAATCAGGAAGATATAAGGGGAGGAAAACCTAAATTATCAATAATTTTAGTAGAATGATATTTGATAATGCATTTATTGCATTATGGAAGAGCACAATATTTAGGTAAAGCTGGAGTACTATACTACAATGTCTCTATTTTAATACATTTATGGCAATCGTAACCCAAATAATGGCATACTTCCCTGTATGGCTAATCCAGGTGGATACAGTCGCAATTTCAAGATTTTATAATTACTGGTAAAAGCACTGACATGTATACATGACAAATATCAGATATTTTCATTAACCCAGAATTCCAATATTGGTGCATATCTAATTTTCAGACAGTAAATGTTCAGACACTTAATTACTGGATATGAACAGCTGTAGAGAGTAATTCCTCCGCCTCCTGCAGCTCATTCCTCTCTTTTAATATGTTGCCCAGATTATTCATGGCATGGACATACTTTGGATGCAACCTACAAAAAAAAACCACATACATACACATTGACACACATTAAATCATTTCTCAACTGGCAAAGTCTTTCCACCGAGTAAGTACCTCAGCGCTTAAACAATAGTATGGCAAATGGCTCTCAATAAATGAAGGCTAGCAGGGACCAGCCTATGGTAAGTGGACCCCTCCAGTTTTCAATTATTAGCAACATTAGCATTTTTTTTTTTTTTTTTAATTTTTACCCGATTTTCTCCCCAATTTAGTCGTCTCCAATTCCACCCGCTAGTTAGGACTCCCCCAATCACACGATGCTATCAACGCTAGGAGGGTGAAGGCTAACACAGGCTTCCTCCGAGACCTGTGAAACCAACCACCGCTTCTTTTCGAGCTGCCGCTCACGCAACGTCATTGGACAGCCGAACGCGCTCGGAGGAAAGCGCCAACCGCCAGATCTGTTACGTCAGCTAACAGACGCCTGCGCTGACTAGCATCGCGCTGAGTGATGGGGGGAGAAGGAGGGGCCATCCTACCCACCCAGAGAGAGCGAGGCCAATTGTGCTCTCTTGGACTCCAGGCTACGGATGGCTGTAGGGATCGAACTCGCGATCTCCTGATGATAGGGCCAACGCTTAGACGGTTGCGCCACTCGGGAGCCCAACATTAGCATTTTTAAGTGACATATATTAAAATGATCAATGATAAAAAGACCAGGACTGTTGGCTATACTGCTAAAATGCACTTCATACCACATACCTCACAGCCTCTCTGTAGTACCTGATTGCAGCACTCTGGTTGCCTCGGTCAGCAAGGTTTTTGCCAACATTGTAATGAACCTGCAGAAAGGTAGAACAATGACAGTTTGTCAGCTTTACTGTTCATGAGTTTAAAAGCAGCCAGTTTCATCTAGCCATCATCTAAAACGTCAGTTTTAAAAGTTCAAAATAAATATTCTACAGATGCCAACTCGCTTTGCTTCTAAACACAAAAGGCACATTAATCATCCTTTCACAGACGATAAAATGAACGTTTTTTCTTTTTCAAATTCAAACAATGCATTTTTATTTAAACGAATGGTCTATGAGAGATTTTCATGAAGCAGACAGAAAAGCCCCTACTAGATCTTCCCATGTGGCCTCACCTTGGCATTGAGCGGGCAGACAGACAAGGCGCTGGTAAACAGGCTCTGCTCAGTCCTCCACTGCTGACTGCGCAGGGCACAGCGCACCACGTTCATGCCCAACAGGGCCAACATGGCCGCCTGCAGCAGCTTCTGCAGGTGGGTGTTAGGGATGGATCAGTCAAGCACATTAAAAGAGGAACACTGAACAAGTACACATAGGGCTGGACCCCCAGACTAAAAGGAATATTAGTTACAATGAAGTATGGCCTGAGGGTGGAGATTAGGAAGGGAGGAGAGAGATAAATGGCACTAGCCTGGACAGCTACCTTGTGTCTCCTCCAGCAGCAGCAGCAGTAGGCCACAGCATAGGCCAGGATGAGGCAGTAGCCTGCTGTGGAGAGGTACAGCACCCGCTCGGCTATTACAAAGCCCACTCGAAAGAACAGGTTACTGGCTGGAAGGAAGGGGATGACCAGCAGCACAAGACCAAACGTCAGAGTCCTGACGACAAAAGCACAAGCACAAGTTACCAGACGCCATCTAATGACCAATAATGCTTTTTAAATGAATCATTTTTGGCTATATTAACATTTTAATTTTGAAGTGCCTGCGTTTTTCCCACCCCTTGCAATGTGAAACCCCCTCTAAATTTAAATAATAGGTAATAAGCACTAGAGCTGGCGTATGATGGTATTGTATCGGGCCAACATAAGCATAAAATGCTGGATATCAGAGGGAAATAAAGAATGAATCCAATTCAATCCTGTTACAAACCTGGTCTGAACTATCACTTTCCTGTTCTGATATTGATACTGAAACCTTTTGTGAGTTTCTTCATATAGTACAATTCCAGCCACCAAAGAGAGTGTAAAACGCTATTTAGAGATTGCATGATTCTCACCTCCTTTTACTGCTGTCTGGGGAGCACAGAGCTTGCCTTATCAAGCCAATCAAGCAGGCCCACAGCAGCAGCAGCCAGACAATTCTCCAGTCACTGGCTGATTTAATAAGAGGTACACAGCCCATTGACCAATCAAAACACAGCCACCAGGGACACAGCAGCAGCCATGCATTCAAGGAGTAGTAGTAATTATAGTTCACAATCTGCCAATCAAAGAGAACAGGAGGTGTTCAACATCAAAGAGGCAGCAAAAGAGAGGAACATGAAATGAGTCAGGGAGCTGAGGAGACGTGTTAAACTGAAGACTGTGCCGAAGACTGTCTGACTGGGTACATGGATGAGACTGAATCCTGCACCAATAGTAACTGCACAAACAGTTACTATTTTAATGTAATCTATTATACAGATACTCAAAGCAACTAAAGCAATTGCACTAAGACATTCAAAGTCCATTTCCTGGACACAGACTGAGCCTAAATCTTTAATCTTTAATGGTGAAACACATTGCAGTCTAAAACTAGCCTTAATCCATATCTACGAAAACCAGCCTTTGGTGTACCAACTAAAGCTCTGATAACATCTAAAAATTATATTAGTCCAGTTCAGTATTTTTCCTCCTTACTCAAAATGTTATATTAGCAGGAAGTATGTGATCATCTTCATACTTCTGCTTCAGTCCAACATTTGTTGGGTAGTGCAGGGTGCATAAAATGACCTCTAAATTCTTTATTTTTTAGTACACTGCCTCCTAACCACCGTTTAGGAATTACACTTTATTTGGTGTGATCTTAGACACCACAGATAACACTAATTGAGTATAGTGAATCACAGCTGACCCTACTACACTTCACACTCTCAGCATCCCTCTACTGGAGTAACGTTACAGCTACTAGGAGATGGCACTCGCTTACAAATGCTCAGTTTATGGTGCAAAAGGGAGGATGGTCACACTCTACATTCTATTCCAAATAACAAGACCAAAACAAAATGGCTCAGATTTCTTTTTGGGGTTGAAGTGAATTGGAAAATTGGGCGTAATACACTGGATCTGACTCATGCTGAATAAACAGCTTTCCCCACACTTACTGGAGGCAATATGAATGATAAGATGGTAAATCTTTATTTTTAAATAAGAGTTATAGTTTTTGACAGTTTATTCAAAAATGTAGCTAGCAATGAAAATATAGCAAAATGTGCAGGCTAACATTAGCTAGCTAATTTTGTTATCTAATTTAACTTGCTAATGTTACATTAACATTAGCTACCTGCCACCAGATATAAATATCTAAAATGCAAGTCAGCTACAATTTTATTTTTATAATGTTATATGATACAATGCACTGACATTTTTGAAACTGCTCATGGTCACTGACTTGCCCACGTTTAGCTGAACCCGAAAATCACAGCCTTGTAGCTTCTCAGTGGTACTGTTTATGGCCAGATTTCTGTTTGTTAGCCAGCTAATCAAAGGTTTTGCATTTCTATTACACCATATTGTTAACACAAAGCTGAAGTCAGCATTTCTCTCCACTGCATCTGTAGCACATTGTTGATTACTACAGATAATTGACTTGTTTCTCTGAACTTAGTAAAAGAACAGAAAACCTATTTACTCAAAATACACTTATAAAAGCCCATTAGCTGCTTTTCTACATTCTATCCACCAAAGTTTGTTATAAGTAAACAGATTTTCCATTTTTTTGTCCTTTTATTAAGTACAGAGAAACACACCAAAATAAAGGTCAGTGGTAATCAACAACATAATACAGATGTGGCAGAAAAAAATATTGAGCTGCAAAATGCAATATTCTTTGAATAACATTAAAAACAAAAACAATTATGTTAATAAAAAAGAGCAACTTGCCTTGCAACTTACCCTAAGAAAAACATTTTCAGCAAAGGAGGCTGGATTGTCTACCTCAGTGAAGGCCGGCGGCCCTGTACCCATGATTCTCCACCTTGCATACAAAAGCAAAGAACCACCAAAAAGCAGGAGAGCCAACCGTACAAGAAGCCCTTTCCTGACCCATTCGCCAACCTGACCATGAAAAAAAAAAAATCAAGACATTATTCGATTCAACACTGTCAAACGATCTCAGAGACAGTAAGCAGAAGATGCAGTAATAGCAGACAATGGCAGGCAGAGCACGAGAGGAGAGGATACACTTACACCTGCAGCCTTCCTCCCCACTAGCAGCCTGTGTGTCAACTCATAGATATTCAGATTGCAGATCATGAGGATATCAAATGCAGCATTCACTCCCTGGGAAAAGAGGATAGAGTCTGCTAGCTGTTTTTATTTTTTGATGTGATGAGCTATACAGTGTGGAGTGATGTAATCAGAAATAATAGAGATACAATGTAATGCCATTTAATCTACTGATGTACTAATATCTAATGCCTGGGCTGATGTCTGATAATTAGCACCCTGTTGTGGCCAATATCAATACCAATAACTGATCATTTTTTCTTTTTCACACTATGCAGGAAGTGCAGTGATTGTAAGATAAATAAAAAATCTAAAGATGGACCATCAATTCATTTTACACTGCCACAACATAGCAACTGTTGTAAATACTTACAATAATTTATACATCATGCCTGTTAAACAATTAAAATAATTAGCAGCAAATATTTTATTTTGTGAAGTTAATCGTGATATCACATTTGTCTTCTTTGCTCAAATGTGATGCACTGTAAACAAAATTTGAAACATCTACATCTACAATCGTAAGCAAAAGTTTGAACACCCTGGTCAAATTCTGTTTTTTTTTTTATTTTTGAAGTTTCAATTAGGCTTAACAAACAAGTATGGCACTTTGCTGCAAATATTAGCACATCATTTCTATTTATTTGCCAAGTTCAACATGCAAAAAAAAAAAAAAACATAAAACATAAAACGTGCCATAACCTCTGTATGGGCCACATATGTTAAATGGCCTCAATATGTTAAATTCAGCAAATAAGCAGTGATTGTGCATTAAAGTATGCAAAAGTGTGTTCTCTGTAGAGGATGTGTTAACCTATTTTCAGTGAGAAAATCCTTTTCCATATGACTGTATCTGAGCAGACAAAAAAGCTCCATCTGAACGCATTTATAACTTTCTCAAAGCTATCCATTTCAATGAGACTTAAAAGAACTAAAATGCCTACCATTAGTGACTATAAATACACGATTAGGGAACAAAGTTATCTGTTGGAATTACAGGCTGTGCGTCTAGTATCAGCCTGACAAAAATAATTTAACTTTTCCAGTTTTCTTTGAACAAGACATCATCCATCAATATATCATGCACCCCTAAATTAATTTACTGGTAGCTTTCGACCTAAAACTCTGCTTACTGTAAAATGCACAAGTAATATTCTTTACCATTCCAACATGACATTGAATTTTAATATGCTACTTCTTATAATTCTACATGTTCAAATGTCTATACATACCAAAACTGTGATGCCTTGCTCCTTACACAGCATGGCTACAGCACACAGCAGAAGGCTGACCACTATCCATGACACTGAGAATTTGTCATTCTTATCACCACCTCAAGAAAGACAATAATAAAAAAATAATAAAGCCACAACAATATTTGTAGATTACAGTGCAAAGTGAAACAATGATACCCTGCACATACGTTCAAATATCAAGGGGGATGAAATAAAACAGACATGTTTCGATTACTCCACTCACATTGAAATGCTCTGCAGTATGAGAGGAAAGACAACTGGAAAAAGAGGGCACACAAGAGGTCTGCCCTGCCCACAATTCCAGCCACCTAGAAAAGAGAAAGAGTATGACAAAAGATATATGATCCTTATTTAAGAAGAGAATAAACAAGAAAATTCAAACAACAATTCCACTGAAAGTCTACTGTTTTATGCTAATCAGTACTGTGATACAAATAAATGTGTTCAGTGAATGTAACAAAATTCATCAATGCATTGATGAATTGTGGGCGCACTGTGAGCAGATTACAATCAGATTGCCCAAACCACAGTTAGAGGTGGTCAGAGATGGATCTTGATCACATTTAAGTGTAAACGGCTTTTGTTATCTGTATACAATTACGTAAGCAGAAATGCATCTGCTAGTCAGATGAGGGGACAAACAATAAAACAAAAGATGGAGGATACACAAGGCTGAAGTTAGCCCCAAACCAAGAGGCTTCATGCACTCCAGGTCTATCAGATCTGGTCACACTGGGGACGCATTTTAGTGAAAAGTTCATCCAGATACAATCCGGGCACGAAGCACATTAATGCAAGGTGTAAACAGGCTCTTAAAGATGAAAGCTTTTAAGTACTGTTTATCTGATGGTGATAGCTCTGGTGGTCTACCAGGTATTGCAAGGTTATGTTCTGTAATTTTTTAATAACGTCAATATTTTAATTGTAATAACTCATAATTAACCCAATAACATACTTTTTGAAACCTCATATTTTTCCCACTGATTTTGGTTTGACTTTTTCCTTCCTTAGGCAAGTGGATTATCTTACATCTGATGTTTTCAGAAATATCTTTCAGAAAAATGAATAGCTTGTATTTAATAATGGCTTTGACTAGACACTAAATAAATGAAGGGTGGTCTCTCTATGAAGCAATAATTCATCACTTTCCTATCAGAGATTCACAGATTTCATCAGTAGCTCTCTGTTATAAAGAACAATGCCTATAATGAAACATTTGTGCCTGTAATTGCCATTTTATGGCAGGGGATTTCATACATTCTCTGGAGTTTCAGCCACACCCCTTTTTCAAAAAACCCCACCTAAGGGCACAGTACAGCTAGGGCCATAGAAGCATTGTTGTAGTCTTTTCTTTTTCCATAAGAAAAATAAGTCACCTTATATTTGCAATGATACTGCACCAGGTGGGTAGGAAGTTTTAGAGAGCATGTAAGTGGCTAAGTTGACTAAAGACAATTATATTTACACACATACAAAGTGTAGTTGATGAAATCAAACAATATTAGGAAAGGTATGAAATCATTCCTTTACTCATCAGTGCCTCTATCTGATGTAATATTAATATAATAACATAATCACTAATAACACTTTGAACACTTTGTATGGTTCCAGACTTAAAGAACTTTCTGTGGCTCGTTACATCAAGACAAACAGATATTTAAATGGTATTAAAAGCTTTGCAAAACAATTCCTAGGGGCATTCATTTCAGCAGCAGCTGAGCATTTTAGAGCCAGCAAAATTGTCTTTTGTTTGTACAGCGGAGAGAGGGAAAAAAAACGGGTAGTTAAAATATCTGCTGCCGTGCTCTGGCCTGTGAAATTGCCTGCATTTCTGGAGGTGCCAAATTAATGACAGAGGCAGGAGGCCGCCTTCATTAGAGAGCCATGGTTGGCCCTGGCTGGAGTCCTGGGGCAGTGGCTGGAGATCCTTTGATAAATCCGGTAGGCCTAAGTCAGTGGTCTTTCTGAAGCTCACCCCCCAGGTCCTGCGCTAGCCTCTCTGTGCCTGATTAAAGAAGCCAGGCAGTGGAGCAGCTCAGGCCTCACGCTCCAGTTCAATCACTATCGGATACATCCTCGGCAGGTTAAACCATCTATTCTGCAGCCATTAGCACAGCCAACCAGCTCTAGAACACACCTTTGCAATGCACACCTACCGAGCGGATCTTTCTACTCCCCAGTCCCTTTTAATGTATGTTTCATGCAGCATCCAAGAAGCAATGTGGTATAGGGCATTGTAGTATGCTGTTGTTTACTAGGAAGGGATGGCATGCTGAGTCATGGCTTCCCCTCTACTTACGCTTTCTGTGTGAACTGGGTGCACAGCGAAGAAGAGCGCAGCTAGGAGGGAAGCCTTCGGAACGTGGGCGAGTCTCGTAGCTTTCTCGTCACAGGCCAGGCCACCAATTAATATTGCAAAGACATCAATCATTAACGCAGAGATAACACAGTGGAGGCCAATGTTGAGCACGTGGAAGCCCACTGGGTGCAATCCACCAGCCAAGAGGTAGTTTAGCCTGCAGACAACACAATACACGTCAATAAACCAGACTGCATCGCTGTAATGAACACACAGCTGAACACTGATGAGATAAAGTTTTAGCGCTTTCACAACTTTCTATGATACTTTTCCAGGTTCTACAGGAATGTTACTGCAAGGGTGACACATATATATGGAACACATTTATGTGTTATTACAGCTTAGTTCTTCTGTACGCTGCAGTAGTCTACAATCTCAAGTCAAAAACAACTATGAAGATAAAACTAGGTCAAACAACAAAAACCAAGCAATACTGAATCAACATGCAAAATTGATAAGAAATGAAAATATTTATACTTCACTATTGGTTTTATCATGCCCCACCCCAAAGGGTCTGAAATAATTACAGTGCTGTAAAAAGAGTATTTTAGCCCCCTTCCCACACAAGAATGTTTCAGATCATCAAACAACTTTTAATATTGCACAAAGATAACCCAAGTAAACATAAAATGCTGTTTTTAATTAATGATTTAATTTATTACAGGAAAAATGCTGTTCAGCCGTACCTGGCCCTATGTGAAAAAGTAACTGCCCCTTAGCTACTAAATCAACCAGTTACCCAAATTCAACAGAATATTGAATACAGTTTCACTAGCCACACCCAGGCATGATTACTGCCAGGCCTGTTGAATCTAAACATCACTTAAATCAAACCTGTCTGGCAATGTGAAGCGGGCTTTCAAAAAGCAGTACGTAATGCCACGTTCTACACAGATTAAAATACAGATGTGAAACAAAGTCATTGAAATCTACCAGTCTGGAAAGTGTTACAAAGCCATTACTAAGGCTCTGGGACTCCAGTGAACCACAGTGAGAGAGCCATTATCCACAAATGGAAAAAAACATGGAACAGTGGTGAACCTTCCAAGCAGTGGCCAGCCTACCAAAATTTGACGACTCATCCAGGAGGTCACAAAAGAACCCAGATGACCATCTAAAGAACTGCAGGCCTCACTTGCCTAAGTTAAGGTCAGTATACACGATTCCACAATAAGGAAGACACTGGGCAAAAATGGTATCCATGGGAGATTTGCAAGGCACAAAGCACTGCTGACCAAAAAGAACACAAAGGCTCGTCTCGCTTTTGCCAAAAATATCTAGATAACCCCAAGACTTTTGGGATAAGATTCTGTGGACTGATGAGTCAAAGGTGGAACTTTTTGGAAGACTTGGGTCCTGTTATATCTCATGTAAAGCTAACATCACATTCCACTATAAGAACATCATACCAACACTCAAACATAGTGGTGGTAGTGTGATGGTCTGGGACTGCTTTGCTTCTGCAGGACTGAGACGACCTGTCATAATTGATGGAACCATGAATTCTGCTGTCTATCAGAAAGTCCTGAAGGAGAATGTCCACCCAACAGTTTGCGAAGCTCAAGCACAGTTGGGTTATGCAGAGGACAATGAGCAATAAGCACACAAACGAGTCCATCTCCGAATGGCTTAAAAGAAACTAAAATTAAGGTTTTGGAGTGACCGAGTCAAAGTGCTGACTTGAATCCCATTCAGATGGTGTAGCAAGACCTTATATGGGTAGTTCATGCTTGAAAATCCTCCAATGTAGCCAAATTAAAACAATTCTGCAAAGAAGAGTGGGCCAAAATTCCTCCACAGCGATGTAAGAGACTCATTGCAAGTTACTGCAAACATATAACTGCAGTTGTTACGCCAAGCGTGGCACAACCACTTATTAGGTTTATGAGGGCAATTACTTTTTAACATGGGTGATATAGATTTCGAATAAATCTTTGCGTAAATAAAGACTGGAATGATCATTTAAAAACTGTATTTTGTGTTCACTCATGTTGTCCTTATCTTAGATGAAAATCTGTTTGATGATCTGTAACATTTAAATGTGACAAATTAAATTAAGTACAAGAAATCGGGTGAGGGGCAAATACTTTTTCATAGCACTATATCTTACTTTATCAGAAAGGCTGTAAAGCTCTACATTTAAATCAGGCTAAGTGTGCCAAATTTTAATTTTTTTTGTATAACTAGTCTTTAAACAATGTTAAGGGAAGCACTATATAGTGCATCAGGCAAAAAAAACTGTTTTACAGTTTTGCCTGATCAATTAACATAGTATGGCCTATATGTAAAAACATCTGACAAAGAAAAAAAATATGTTCATTCATAAAATATGAACGTAACTCAGCACTGATAAGTTTACTGTGTAAGGCCGATACAGCCTCAGTCATGATTCCCAATCTGTACTATACGTGTGCCAATATTCACTAATAAGGTAAAGCACAAAATCCAAGACACAAGATATTTTAGCACAGCAGCTCAGGTTTCATAAGGTCTGACATCGCTGTTACACTGAGATCCCATGCTTTATCTGCTGTTTGTACAGTTGTTTTAGTGTGCTATTGGTCTGAGCACTTTCACAGCTCATGGTAACGGTCATATTGCTATCTAGTAGAAATTAAAGACATGATGGCCCTTTAAAGCTGTCAGAAAAACAGGCTTCCAGAATTTTGTGAAGTCTGCTGTGACATTACACAAAGTGCCATCAGGAATGTTTTTCCAAAGACATGGAATGTCTTTGGAAATATCCAAAACATATAACCACTTACACATTATTTCTATGAAAAAAATGAAATTCAGAACACCACATGTGTACATGTATTATCTATTCCAAAAATATTAATCATGGTGATTCGCATTCATTTGTGTAATTAATCATGATTAATCACATTTGTCTTTTTTGCTGTATAATGACCCTAAAAATTTTCTATTTAAAAAACATGTGCATTTTGATTAAGCTACAAGGGATGTGCATTCTGATTGATTCTGATATTCAAGTACCCACAAGAGTTAATGAAAGGAGCAAACCACAGTAAAGAAAAAAAACTGGTTGAAAAAAAGTACTTTGTAGGGCGATCCAGAGATCCATAGAGGCTTATTCTTTTAGGGGATAGCTACATGAGTGGAAAAGCTACATGAGTGGAAAATTAAGCTTAATCAGAATGTATTTATTACCTTCAATAATTCAGCTGAACATAAAATCATTTAAGGGCCGAGAATAAAAATGGGATGAAAACGGTTTTCAATTTTCATCACAGATGTCTGATGAAAACAGCAGTGGCTACATGTTCCAACTCCTCCGCAACTGTAGCTCTTGCTCTCACAGTATGCTGCGTCTTGTTTCAAGGAGAAGTGGAGCTTTCCGCTTTGCTTATACTTTTATTAGTTTGTGGGTTGATTTAGCCACAGTTCTCTCATGAGCACTGTCCAGAGTAATCTGCTGAAGGCATCCTCTGGTGCTAACGTTACTGATATTACTGACGTTGCCAGCAACAGCAGTGTGTTTTGCTCATCAACAACACTTCAGACGTATTTTGGTGATAAACAAATCCAAGGCATTGTTGTCATTAACTTATCAAGACAGCCATCAATGTAACTTGCCATTTAAAAGCTGTATTTGAATGAGGGGGCTACAGGGCTTTAGCCTAGAACTACAGTTGGTTCAGAGGGTCTAACTATGAGAATGTGTTAACGTTGTTAAAATTAGAGCCGTTAATAATGTATTGCATTGATGCAATACATAGGCTAGTATTATCTTCTGATGTAGTGTTTCTTTTCAATGCGATATTGTGATAATATCTCAAGCCATAAGTTGTCAGGTAATTATTGTGATATTGAATTTCTTTAACTGTAGATGCCTAATCTGTACACTACTATTATATCTGCAACATGTATTCTTTATGAACGTCAACAGTTGTTAACTAACTGTGGTAGAACACACTTCAGCTGAAGGCTTACATTGTTCTTGGACAGGTATACGTTTTGGGTGATAGCTCATGCACACCTCAAGTGGTTACATTTGTGCTCATTTTTGTTAATTTTGCCTGTATGGACCCCCTGGGACTGTACATAAGGGGGTGGACAAATCGGCCCTTAGCCATTACACATGCAAAACAATGTCATTCTCATTAACAGCATGAGACATGACCTAGACTATATAACCCTTATATAGAAACTTGTCATGGCTGAGTTCAAATGCCAAAGACAATGCAGAAATTAGCAGTCTAGAAAAGGCAATATAAGCAGCATCCCAATTTAATGTCAATTATTGTGCCTTCCACGAAGTAAGTAGTTGGAGCCACCGCTTCTGATTTCCTACTGTGAATAAAATTGCATTTCCAACCATACGCCCTTAATATATGCAAGGTCATTTAAAAATATTTGATATATGCAGCTTGGGCAGTACTATTATGTTAATCATCAGGTCACTCAATATCAATGCCAAGTGACTGCCAACCCTCTTGAATTCACTTCTAGACAAGCAAGGCATGCAAGCTTACCTAAAGGTGAGAACAGTCAGCGGCCTGTAGGATTTGTGGCTGGAGTTGCTGCTCAAGTTGCTTCCCCAGAAGTCATTTTTCCATATGTTATTTAGAGGGGTAGCTGGGTTTAGATCCTGAAATGAGCCAAACCAGATAAAATATGTGCATTTTATTCATTGTACTGCACTTGCAACCCTACAGGAATAAATGTTATATTTCTCTGTAATGCTAATTCAGTATGCACATGAAAGATATTGGATATCAGCCTTGGTCCACAATTCCCATATTGGTGCCTCCCTAGAAAAAATGTACAATTCAAGTTATAATGTAACGAGTAATTTGTGTAGAATTGCATGTGTCTTTATCTACTGCTTTGCACAGTAAATTATATTTTATACATCAACTGATGCCTGACCATGAAGGAACACTCTGGCACCCTAGGTCAAAATTCATACAAATATTCACACAGTACCTTGTTATTGATAATAGCTTCTGAATCATCAAAGACAAAGTCCCCATCGTAGCTGTTTATGAAACAGACGAGGGCGACCAAGGCCACAAACAGGCGTGAATGAACTGATCCAAGCTTTGGCAAGGGGACGTGGTGGTCCCAGTAAGGTTCAGATTGTACCATGGTGCTTGAGTTTGCAGGTCATGCTGCCTCGCCATTCACTCCATTCACTTGCTGGAGAGACTGGAAAGAGTGGAAATCAGGCTAGTTGAGACATTGGATTCCCCCTGCTTTATCACTTATAATTATGAATGAATCATTACTCGTGAATTATAATTACAGTAGCACGAGGCACGCCATACATCGGACATGACAACCTACCTCTACATCTCAGAGATGTGACAGTGCTCATCTACATAGTTGCACTGTAGTGTAGTAGCGTAGCAGCCAGGTGACAGACAGACAGGCTAGCTAGCAACAGCAGCTAACAGTTTGTTGGTCCGCAGCGGTCCAAGTGAACAAACAGCACACGAGAAATCATTCCTATAACGCTTCATACAATACAGGCCTGAAAACGTGTGTGTAAAAGCTCTTAAAGACTTGAACTACGCTTCAGTAAACAAGCACATCAGCAGCAGCTACTGTCCTAGAGACAGACGGAGAGCTAGCGAGGCTACAAAAGACAGCAGTCTGCCAGCCAGAGATTAAAGCTCGGTGAGCTGCTGAGGTTTTCCGACACAGCGCGTCCAGTTCAGCCAATCGGAATAAAAAATATGCGGAATATACTTCTACAGTTATGCACAGAGTAGATGCCTAATACGTGGTTAAAATTACTCCTCCATATTCATATTCATTTTCTCTCTCTCTCTCTCTCTCTCTCTCTCTCTCTCGAGCGCGCATGCGCGTACGGGAGAGAAAGATCACGTCACGCACTTTCATCACTTTCATTACAGCGTTCCTGTTTGTTTAATAATTGATACATTATCGTGTTGTATTATGTTATATTAAATTATAAGTAAGAATTGTGAAACCATTCTCTTCGTTACACTTCTATACTTCTGGACATATTTCAATAGCCTATTTGTTTTGTTCTTTTTGTACATGAAGTCACGGCTCTTTCTGGCCACACTAGAAAAATCTCATTCCTGTGATGTAAATTGAAGGTGAGAGGATCTTTTGGAAAACTACAACTTGGGTGGATTTTTGGATATGGGATTAAGTTACATGCTTGTTGTATTTACACTGTTAGAGTATTATACTAACGTTCCTATTCTTTGTTAAGTTTCGGTTGGAAACGCCCAACGGAAAATGATCAGGATACCTGTGGCGTGTAGGTAGCCAGACTAGCCCTGCCATTGGGTACGTCTGCAGGGGCTGGATTAAAGGCCTAGTATGTCAGAGTAACCGCTGAGATTACTGGGAATGGACAGTTTAATCAACCAATCAGGATTTGATTAACAGCGGGTGGGGACCAATTTGGTGAGGTGAGGAAACAATGTCACTCTGCGGCCGTAGGAAATGTAACTAGAGGTGACAGACTGCAAATACTGAAAAGGTCACACCGAAATTGCACAATACAAGGTAAACTATATGTTAATATGTCTGTTAGAAGCTTTAAATAAAACATTGAAAAACGCTTACAAGCTTCAAATTTCCGCGTTTAATCTAGAACGGCCAGAAGTTGTTCGGTGCGTCACCGTTAGCTAGTTTAGTTAGCTTAGCGCTAAAATACTGTTGAAATCCCAGCGAGACTTAAGCAGAGATTAGCATTACTGCTGCAGAGGTGTTTTCGTTATCGTTTTTGAGCGAGTTTTAACTTAAATGGCCCAAACCGAAGGTCTGTTTCTAATAGTCATGATTTGCCACTGTTTTTTTTACCTTCCTAAAGTTGTGGTCTTAACTGGCAGATAGCTAACGCTAGCTAGGAAGCTGGAAAACACATTTCAAGCAGCCTGTCTCGAAAATGTCTAACTGTTACGCTAAAGTTGGAGTAGTTTTCAGAAAGGGGGCAGGGTTCCAGTTTAATGTGAATTGTTATATAGCTAAATGTGATATTTATGTGTGTATATTTGTGTATATATATACACACACATATGTATAAGTATGTGTGTGTGTATATATATATATATATATATATATATATATATATATATATTATATATATATACACATATGTACAAGTATATGATGTGTGTGTGTGCATCATATACTTATACATATGTGTGTGTGCATGTTATATTGTATATTGTTGTATATGATTTGGAAAATGGATGCTTTATTATTGTATATTATTAAGTGACTCGCAAAATGGATGCTTTATTATTTTGACTATTTCGTTATGAACACTGATTGCAGTGAATTGTGTTATGTAAGAGGTCACATAACCATTCTTTTCCCCTACACACAGGGCCTACACACAGACCATGACACATTCAGCGCTGCAGAACCCACACTGATGTGTCGTAACCGTGCTGTTCACTGTGCCAGCGTTTGCCCTTCTGAACCGCTGACACATCAGTAATGTTGCAGCAGCAGGACCCCCCACCCAGCAACACACATACCAGTTGGGCCAGTCCTCTGCCAGTCCCCGCTGACTGCATTCAACTCCAGAGCTTGGAATCTAATCAGGCTGACATCACGGAGATTAGCTACAGCCCTCTGATTCCTGGTACAAACATTTCAAACACAAACACTACCATCAATAGGGGCTTTGAGCAGCCTGTGAAACTGTCCCCTTGTTTCCTCTCTGCTTCAATGATACATTGTAGGAGCTGTGAATAGAACTGGGTCCTCGTAATGATGTTGGGCTAGAGTCACCACAGCCTGATGTAGGCCCTATGATACCTCAACAGCTAATAAAGCACCTATGAATTGACTTTAAGAGCAGAAGTGGAGTGGCAACAAAACTACAGAGCTTCAGAGGTGAGGAGGAAGAAGGTCTGTCACTCTTCCACTAGAATCTCAGGCAAGGTAGGAGCTTTCTGTTTTTCTCCTCATCTTGGCTTCCTGCTGTTCCAAGCTTATATCTTAGCCGATGTTATGATTTGATGTAATGAGTGAATGTGTAGTGATATAGCAGCATCTGATTTAGACTGATGATATGGACTTGTGGTATAATATGCTCTCTTGCATGCTTAATGAATTGTTCTCGTACCGCTGCATCACAGAGACGCATGCACTAATTATTCCATACACTAATATCCTGATTTGAATTGTGGTTATCACACACGTGATTACTGTGGCATACATAATATTTGAGACTAAATTAATACATTAGTTTTGGATCACCCACTCTTCCTAAAATAGGGAGCTGCACTTGCTGCTTAATAGTATCAATGCTTCTGTCTTATCTCTGAACAATATATTATACTATTTTATAGAATAATATATTATAGAATAATTTACATGAAGCTCTGCTTCTTTCTTTGTGTGAGTGCATGAAGGTGTGTGATATTATAGAAATATCAATGTTAAGAACATGAGCCCAGACAAAGATGTCCAGCACCAGTTAAGCAAGCTCCTAAATGTAGATGTACTCATCTTTGGAAGGTTCATGAAGAAGGTTTCTGCCTAGGCAGTTGTCTTTTCACAGATTTCTTAATCTTTTTGCACAAGTCAATCCCAGAGATTTAAGCTCATTCAGAGTGTCTAGTTTTTACTTATTTTTAAGAAAGTGTTTATTGGTCACTAATTTACTCTATAACACCATGTGTGTACCTCTCCTTCATGAATGGCTTTTAAAACACACATTTGTCCTTCTCAGAACTGTCATAAAACACTGCCTTGAAACATAGGCTTGAAACTATGAATTTGAAACCATGTAACAGGTTACTGTAAGGGAGGTTTTAGCGCCATTAAATTCTTCAAACTTCTAGTTCCTATCACCACCACTGTGAACAATTCTGACTCAGTAAATTTCACATCAGACCTCGCTGACTGACTTTGTTTACGGCAATTTAATTGTTTGGAAGTGGAATCAGTGGAATTCTTTCTTTCATTGCTTTAGAACCTTTACATTATGTGGAGGATTTTCAGGTAATTCATACTCACATATCTCATTTTCAAAATGGTTCTTTAAAGAACCATCCATTGAAAGGTTCTTCAGAGAACCCAAAATGGTTTATGTATGGCATTGTGCCAAAGGACCCTTTTTGGCACCTTTATTCAAGTAATTTTTTCCGGTATTATTGTCATGTTGGTCATTAGTGTGGCATGGAAATGAAGTTAAAGCTCCTCCTGTAAATTGAAATAGAAATAATATCATAACCGTTATCTTAGAAAGCTCTGGAGTAGCAATTACAATTAGAATTTGTTGGATTTCCAGAAAACTTCCCCCTCTGTAGCATTGCTACAGACATTACCCTCAATTTGGGCTGAAGAGCTTATATATGTATTATTACTCTGTGTAAAGCATAACAGTATTTCTGGCGAAAGACATTGGCGAGTTAGTCAGGTTGGTGGCTCACTAATGTTCTCACTGAGGCAAATTATTGCCTGGATATCCATATCTGTTCCTTGAAATAAAACATTCAAAATTGCATTCTTGAGTGCTCCGCTGCTTTGAGTAAACAAGTGCTGTACAGTCATATGCCAAAAGCGTGTGCAAAAAAAGTGTGCAAAGCGTCTATATCAACACAGTACTGTTTCGTTAAATATATAAATAAGTGTTATGCCTGCGCTATAAAAAACTGTTCATTAAGTGTAGATGAGCCTTGGTTATAAAATGGACCCAAATAGAAGGAAAGGTAACCACATAGTTCTAATAAAAAAATCATAATTTAATTAGATAATAATTACATAATGTGATTATTTCCAGCGTTACAGAAGCTTGCAGGAAAATGTACTTAAATGTTTAAATTTAAAAAAGAAACTTGAAATATAAAAATAGAAAATCTGAAAAAAATAATCTCACAGTGTAATTGGTTAAGTCAACAAAGATGAAATGCATACAGATAGTAGACACATGAAGCTAAAGAAATATGTTCTTGAATGAGGAGTGTATTCATCTACAATAATATACATATTTTTGTCAGAATCAAGATATGTTCAGTCCCTTGAGCAGCACTGCTGTGTCTGATTCACTCGTACTGGTACGACGCACACTGACACACCACCATCATGTCAGTGTCACTGCAGTGCTGAGTATAATGTACCCCCCAGATAATACCTGCTCAGTGCTGGTCCTTTGGGGATCCTAACCATTGAAGTACAGGATAAAAATGGGCTAACTAAATATGCAGAGCAACAGCTGGACTACAGTCTATGCAGAACTACAAGGTGCACCTATATGGTAGGTACAGCTGATAAAATGGACAGTGAATTTAGAAACAAAGCTGTTATGCCTTATTGGTGTGCATGAAACTGCTTTAAGCAATGAACAGTAATGAAATATCCAAGCAATTTTTCTTTTTCTGAGAAACCATTAAAGTGTAATTGTACAGATTAATGAGCTGCTTGTGATATTATGTTTTCTACATGGGCACATTAACTGTACAGTATTTGACTACCTGAGTAAAGCACTGGCACATTTGGCAATGTTGCATTCATCACTGGCTATGCCAAAAGCAATTTTATGAAAACTTTTCTCACTCATAGCTAACTGAAAAAAAGAGAAATTCTGTGGGAAGTACAGCTTGTTAACTTTCAGTTGGTGTTTGTAGAAGAAGAGAGATTTTATGATTTTAATGTATTTGTTATAGCATTGAAATCATAGAGGAAAATGACAATAACTAACTAATTTTGAGAGTTAATTTGCTCCAGTGCTATCATGAAGTTCAAGGGTGTAAGACTGATTTGGAAAATGAGAGGGGCACTTTAATGCTAGGTGGCCATTAAATCTCAACTATTGTTTGTCAAGCTAGGTACTAGTCACCAGTAGCAAACAGTTGCCTGCTCTGCTGACAGCAGTAAGTCTATGCCTATTTCACACAGACTACTTCTCTGTGATGGGAACAAAGCAGCAGTGTGACTGCTAAAGCTTGCATGCGTACTGCCTACAGCTTGTGCTCTGCCAAGCAGTACTCATATCCATTTTTCACAATGTTTTACAGATTTTCCTAATAGATAAAAATTGAAGATATTTTGTTTTTCTTTAAAGGCCCATTTACATTTTTTTTTTTTCTTTTTTTCCCTCTAAGGTCTGCTTATGACATTTGTGTGGTTTCATGTAATTCATAATGAATTTTTACTTGGCCATTTTCCAACCTCTCGTCATCATTAAGTATTAAACAAGGTGTTTTGTCACTGTGCCTGTAAGACTGATGTATGTAAATGACATCTGTTTTGATTGGCTCTCCTGTACTATGCTTCATTCAAGATATCACATAAACAGTGAATTCAAAACGGGCTGTTTTTGCAGTTTAGTTTCCATATTTGTACTGTATTGAGTGAAGAGTGAATGGTTTTGAAACTTTAACAGTGTTTATGTACTATATCAAACTTATTTTAAAAAGCAGTGGAAATTTGTGTTTACATGTGGGTCCTTTAATTAAAACGTGTAAAACAGCATATCACACATCGTTGCCATCATCAGTTTTCATGCGTGTGACTGTGCAATCGTATGTAGCTTTTAGACCTAAAGGAAAAAATATATATATACACACCACCACTATGATAACAGGGATGAATTATAGAATTAGCGATTTGACATTTGTTGTTTATTTCTTTTTGTTTTCAGTGGTTTTCATAGTTTACTGTTTTAGTAGTGGGTCTGTAGATGAGGCACTGCTTCATTGCTGCATGTGGGCTTCATGTAGATGGTCTAACTTGTGCGACACAGAAGTAGCATGTGTATAATAACATGGAGCAATTGCTGGAGTGAAAGGGGTTTTGAGGAAGGCCAAGGCAGCATGGCGATGTAAATGAATATCGTCTGTGATTGACAAGTAACTTGATGGCTGTGTTTAAAAGGCTATAATCGCTGTGTTGGGAAAGAGAACTGATAGAGAACTAGAGAGGACTAATTTACCTTATACAGCTTGTTAAATAATATTAAATAATGTGTACAAACAACGTTTTGTTCACCTTTGCTCAGAAGAGTTCATAGCATTTTCCGTACAACTTAACCTACATCTTAGTGGTTCAGGTTAAATTGTGAAAATATACTACTATATGCCCCCCCCCCACCATATACAATGGTTCCTATGCCCCTGATACCGTATAAATAAAGAGCGTTTTAGGCCACATTTTGCCTCATGTAATGAGCATGAACGCAACAAGCAAGCTCATTTCCTTGTTGCTTGGGGATGTTCAGCTCAGTATATCTTAATTGCTTGTGTAATGTTTATCTACTTAGTCTTACAACAGTGGTCTACAGGGGTGCCACATTTAATACCAATGAAGGGTCTCTGTTCATCAAGCATTGTGCATTGTGTGTTTCATGAAATGCAGCCTCTTTAATGTGCTGTTAATAAATGAAAGCCAATCAGTTAATTTTGTTGGGCATTCAGCCTGGAGAAGCGCTTTGGCGCTTACTGTTGATGTGCTGTTACCATCAACAAAAACCTTGAAGTTAATGTTTTTATTTACCTTACTGCTGGATTTACGTACTGTGCTGTATGTGTAATGTAACAGATTGTTTTACAGACACAGACTCTTTCTAATGCTGATTACTTTCTAATGATGCACAACTTCAGAGGTCTATGGCTGGGCCTAGGAAAAACGATAACAATAATCATCGCGATATAACTTTCCTTGATAGAAATATAAGAAATGTTCAATAAATGTTCAATGTAATAGACCATTTTCACACTTCTGCATTCTAGTGATAGCCCTGATGGCGTTTTCTACTGCAAGGTGCATGATTAGAGAGAGAGGGAGCGAGAAGTAAAATGAGTCACCAAATATACTTTTGCAATGTTTGAAACGAGGGGTTAGACGTTCTCTGTTTGAGTGGAGCGATCAGTGATCTGGCCCTCATGTGACGAAGTTTGAGTGATGAGATAAGTGACGTAATTGTACTGGTCTACCACGAACTCACTTCTATCCTAACAAGCTTTAGCACCGTTAAATCACGTCTGCTCCACACGACTACAGTGCTGTGTTACAGTGCTCAAAGAAGCATATTTTAGTATAAGTGCATTCCCAAGCAACAAAAGTGAAACAAATAAGTGTTCATTCAATTCATGCTAGTTACAGCCCTGATTTAAACGAAAGTAAACTGAGGATGCTGTATGTGTGATATTGGAGAGTAGGAGAAAACTAGAAAGGGAAAGTTTGTGAACGAACTTTAAGTTGGCTTGAAAAAGCCAGTTAATTACGTTAAAACGTTAAAATGGTTGAAGACTGCTGATAGTTGTTAAAATATTGCCAAAAATTTTGTTAAGCAGAAGCTGCAGTATCTGTCGTGTATGGTAATTCATTGCTAGGTGCTACCATGAATGAAGTTCAACCTTAAAGTCTGTGCCACGTTAAATTTAGTGCTATGTTAATTGCAGTGCCAACTTAATTTTAGTTCCACCTTAAAAAATTCATTTGTTGCTAGGTGCTACCGTGAATGAAATTCCACCTTAAATTCTGTGCCATGTTAATTTTAGTGCTACCTTAAACAGAGTTCCACCTTAAATTCTGTGCCACCTTAAATTTATTGCTATTTAAATTGCAGTGCCACCTTGACTGACGTTCCACCTTAAATTCTGTGCCTCCTTAAATTTAGTGCTATGTTAATTGAAGTTCTACTTTAAATTCTGTGCCATCTTAATTTTTGTTCTACCTTAAATAAAGTTCCACCTTAAAGTCTATGGCACCTTAAATTTAGTTCTATGTTAATTGTAGTGCCACGTTAAAAGAAGTTCTGTCTGTTGATTGTGTTGAGTGTGTGTGGGGTGGGGTATGTTGAGTATGTGCTGTGTGTGGTGTGTTAATTGTGTGTGTGTGTGGATGTGTTGAGTGTGTGGTGTGGGGTGTGTTTATTTTGTGTGGTGTGTTTATTGTGTGTGGTGTTGGGTGTGTTGAGTGTGTATGGCGTGAGTGTGTTGAGTGTGTGTGGTTTGTTGGGTGTGTTGAGTATGTGCTGTGTGTTCATTGTGTGAAGTGTGTGTGGTGTGTTAATTGTGTGTGTGTATGGGTGTGTTGAGTGTATGTGTGGGTTTGTTGAATGTGTGGTGTGGGGTGTTTAGTGTGTGTTTATTGTGTGTGGTGTGGGGTGTGTTGAGTGTGTGTTGTGTGTTTATTGTGTTGGTGTGGGGTGTGTTTAGTGTGTGTGTGCTTATTGTGTGTTTATTGTGTGTGGTGGGGGATGTGTTGAGTCTGTTGTGGGTTTATTGTGTGGGGTGTGGCGAGTGTTGAGTGTGTGTTGTGTGTTTATGTGTGGGGTGTGTTGAGTCTGTGTTGTGGGTTTATTTTGTGTGGTGTGGGGTGTGTTGTGTGTATGTTGTGTGTTTATGTGTGGGATGTGTTGAGTGTGTGTTTTGTTTACTGTGTGTAGTGTGAGGTGTGTTTATTGTGTGTGGTGTGGGGTGTGTTGAGTGTGTGTTGTGTGTTAAATTCTGTGCCACCTTAATTTTAAATTAAGTAAATTTAGTGCTATGTTAATTGAAGTTCCACCTTAAATTCTGTGCCACCTTAAATTTAGTGCTATGTTAATTGCAGTGCCACCTTAAAATCAGTTCCAACTTAAAAAATTTATGTGTTGCTAGGTGCTACCATGAATGAAGTTACACCTTAAATTCTGTGCCATGTTAATTTTAGTGCTACCTTAAACAGAGTTCCACCTTAAATTCTGTGCCACCTTTATTTTAGTTCTCCATTAAAGAGAGTTCCACCTCAAAATCTGTGCCACCTTAAATTTATTGCTATTTAAATTGCAGTGCCACCTTGACTGACGTTCCACCTTAAATTCTGTGCCTCCTTAAATTTAGTGCTATGTTAATTGAAGTTCCACCTTAAATTCTGTGCCATGTTAATTTTAGTGCTACCTTAAAGAGAGTTCCACTTTAAATTCTGTGCCTACTTCAAGTTAGTGCTATGTTAATAGCAGTTCCACCTTAAATTTAATGCTATGTTAATTCAAATTCCACCTTAAATTCTGTGCCATCTTAAATTTAGTGCTATGGTAATTGTTCTATGCCACCTTAATTATAGTACAATGTTAATTAAAGTTCCACCTTAAATTTAGTGCTATGTTAATTGACATTCCACCTTAAATTCTGTGCCATCTTAAATTTAGTGCTATGGTAATTGAAGTTCCACCTTAAATTCTGTGCCATCTTAAATTTAGTGCTATGTTAATTGAAGTTCCACCTTAAATTTAATGCTGTGTTAATTGAAGTTCCACCTTAAATTCTGTGCCATCTTAAATTTAGTGCTATGTTAATAGCGGTTCCACCTTAAATTTAATGCTATGTTAATTGAAGTTCCACCTTAAATTTAATGCTGTGTTAATTGAAGTTCCACCTTAAATTCTGTGCCATCTTAAATTTAGTGCTATGTTAATAGCGGTTCCACCTTAAATTTAATGCTATGTTAATTGCTGTGGCACCTTAATTTTATTGCAATGTTAATTGAAGTTCCACCTTAACTACTGTGCCACCTTAATTTTAATGCTACCTTAAAGAGAGTTCCACCTTAAATTCTGTGCCACCTTAAATTTAGTGCTATGTTAATTGAAGTTCCACCTTAAATTCTGTGCCATCTTAAATTCAGTGCTATTAATTGAAGTTCCACCTTAAATTTAAGGCTATGTAATGATAATTCCACCTTAAATTCTGTTCCACCTTAAATTTAGTGATTTGTTAATAGCAGTTCCACCGTAATATCAGTGTCGGTGTAAACTCAGTGCTACCTTAAAAGAAGTTCCACCTTAAAATTCATTGCTACCTTAGTGCAATTCCACCTTAAAAAAACTCATTATGTGTGCTGATACTGCTGAGCATTAGGCTGCATTAGGAGCATGTGAGACTAAGCGCTCCGTGCGTGAGTTTGTATGTGTGTGTGAGAGAGATGGCCATTGTGACATCACGTGTGGCATGCTGCCAACATTCCGCCCATTCATTCCCTATGGGAAAAAATATCGACTTTGTACGTTAATTTTCGGAAAACCGTACGTCGGATCGCTTAGAAAAGCACAAGCACACCCCGCGTGGCTCTAGCTTGAAAACTGTAGGAGGAGTAGCATTTAGTTTTTTCAGTATAGAATAATAAGAAGAAGAAGATTACGAAGAACAGCAAGTTGGCTTTTTCAAGCTAACTTAACTAGCTTCCCAGGCTAGCTGTTTTTAGCAGCTGGCTAACTTGAAGCAGCACTCGCACAGTGCGGCAAATTGATGTTACTGTAGATCAAACGACAAAAAAAGCTTTGATTTCAGCTTAAACGTACCTAAAAGGAAGGTGTTTGTCTAGTGCAAGAAAATCACACCACAGTTAAAGCTTTTACACAGCAATCGTCAGATATGTTGCAGTTCTTTCACCCCTCAAACTACTATGACAGCACAGAGAAATCCAAATGTCTGCTAGCTTCTGGTTGAATATTGTAATCCATCATCGACGCACCAAGCCAGCTAATGTTTGCTATTCGTACTAAGCTGATGTTGTTGAGGAACTAAACAGTTCAGCAACAGTAACCAGGTAGTTTGCACTCGTCACCAGACAGTTAAAAACAACCTGTTTTCTTTTTAAATTATGAGTTTTATTATATGAATAAAAAAATCAAGGGCATGTTGTGTCAGCTGATAAAAAAAAAATCTAGCTTTCTGCCACTATCCCATGACAGATTTATGAAATGTTCTACTGTTCTAGTGTTTATGTTCACTACTGACATTAATTTCCTGTTTACAAATGCATAATTGCAAAGAACAAAATTTCTCTGGTGCCTGCATCATCTCATTTGCATATAAAGTAGAAAAGCAGCATGTAAGCAAATTCGTGCCTGTATTCACAAAGCACCGCAGAGTAGGAAGACTGATCTTAGATCAGATTCTTTCTGTTTATGATGGTCATGATCACAAAACTAGATCAGCACTTAGACTCTTAAGGTGGTGTGAATACAGACCCATATTTTGTTTGTTTAACTGAGACTCATGGATATGGACAAGTCCAAGCAGAATGTGGAAAAACTTTACACAGATGCTTGGAGCTCGTTTGGAGTTTTGCTGAGCCATCTCGGACAAATACATTCCATTCCAGTCTGGGTGTTTCTAACTGACCAATCTTGAGACCTAGTCTGATGATAATAACATAAGTGGGTTTGACTCTCTCTCCCTGCAGCATTGGGCCTCTGTGGCCATTAGGCAGATTCTCTATTGGAGCAATGACAGGTGAAATGGAGCACAAAATCCTAAAACCTGAAAATGCCCCGCTCCTCTCTTTCTCTCACACACACACACACACCCACTGACATTGGCTATTGTTTATCATGTACGTGCATCATGTAAGTACTGTGCAAAAGAATTAGATATAAAATATATATTCAACAGAAAATTTCACAGATGCCTCAACAACTTTTACATATAAATATTGTACAGTATTCAGTGTGTCCACTCTTGGCTTTTAATACAGCTTTCGTTCTTTTTGGGAGACTTTGCTTTTCACTTTTTAAACATGCTCAGCTTTTCAGAGAAATGTGCAGGGATTTTTTTTTTTCCACATCTCCAAAGTTCGGTCTTACTAGTTGGTTGCATTTTTTGCTTCTTCTGTTCCGAAGTAATCCCAAACACATTCTGTGATGTTGGTCTGAACGCAGACAGTCCATTGTTCTCAGAACACCAGCAGCGTCTTTTTCAATTTGCAATTTTTATTTATTTGTTTGTTTGGCGTATTTCCTTTCCTCAGTATCATCTTCTTGAAAGCTACTCATCCTTCTAGACCCATGACAGTAAGTAGTCTTCTCACAGTGGAAAGATGGACAGAAACAGCTCAAACAAGCAAGCTTGTAGCTTAATTTTCTCCTTTCTCTGAAAGCTTTAAGTACTGCTTATGTGCTGGTGACAGTTTTGGTGGTCTGCCAGCTCTTGCATGTCTGTTAGGAGTCCCATTTCCTTTCTGTATTTTTTTTGTTATTAATCCACTTTTGGAATCTATCTATCTGTCTATCTATCTATCTATCTATCTATTCATTCATTTATATATATATGTATGTATTTTATTTAATTCTTTTGTTCACCTTTGGCTTTCCCCTTCCTCACACACTTGTATGTAGATCTTATATCTCATCTCTTTTGTAATATCTCCTGTACAATTGATACCTTGTACTTAATGGCCATTTGAACTGGAAATTAATTAAATAACTTTTGCACTTCTTGACTGTTCCCTTCAGATTGTTCACAGACTTTGCTGTTTACCTCTTGCAACTCTGTTTCTGACCAGCAACCAAAAAGGCAAAAACTTCATGCTCCTCCAAATATTGTGTGATATCTCCCCATTTCATATCTGTCGCTTCATTTGACCTTGGCCTTTCATTTCTTTTGTCATTGGGATGTACCACCAAATCATGCAAAATCAATGTCCGCTGTCCATTATGAGATCAGAAAACATTACATCCTCATGTCCTCCAATGACTTGTCTGTCACTTTGCATTTGGGCCAGTAGTGCTGCGGCTGGTGTGGAGAGAGGTGCCCCTCATTAACAGCTCTCTCCCCCAGTGTAACTGATGCAAATAACAGCCGAACGCTACAACCGGCAGATATGAAATCCATACTTCATGCATTTTGCATGTGGGGTCAGTGGTCAGTGACCGTAAATGAAGTGGCAAGGTTTTTATTGTTCACTGGGTATTTACCAAAGAAATTACTGAGATATTGAGCTAATTGAGCTGAGGGCCTGGTCGAAGAGTGAAAAGGTTTGACTATCCATTTTATTAATTCATTTAATCAGAACAAAAAACATTGCAAACACATGCAAGACCACTGGGCCTAAAACATTTATTTATTTATTTGTTTGTTTGTTTATTTGTTTGTTTGGCTGATTTTGCAGTGGATTGAAAATTACAGTGAAACCAGAATTTGTTCATTATACCTTTCATAGAATACACATTGTACTTACTAGCTTAGAATGTGTTAATTGTATTATATTAATTGCTTAAGTGTGTACAGCATTTCTACACAAGTAAAATATTGTATTTATATTACATTAACTGGAGATGCACTGATCATGAGTTTTTAACAGCTGATTCTAATTTGTTTACAGACAAATTGACCAGTGGCTGATTTTTATTAGCCTCTTGTAGGTGTAACAGCAGCGTTCAAATACAGTGTGAGTGCACTTACCTGACTCATGTACCTCATAAAATCGCAACACAGGTCAGCCATAATAAAAATGAGAATTTTGCCAATTGCCATTCGTGTGTTCGTGTCGCCAAAATTATGTAAACTGAAGGACAAAATAGTATTTGCCATTAATGTGAAACTGATATATGCATTTAAATCAAGTAAATTTAGTGCATTATTTTATTCAGTGCACAGAACATTGTGATATTGTTGTTGACATTCTATTATTTCCTTTGAAATCTCATAAATGCTGTGATTGGTGTAATCATACATTATGGTATCTGGAGCCCTTTTCCCCAAAGCGCCCATTTATCACTGTAAATGCGTTTGTACTCTGCAGCTGTGAAATGGTGATTTAATGCGAGTGTGTTCTGTTGACGAATATGTTTCTGTGCTGGCTGATAGGATAGATGGTATCTGGAGCGTGAACGGGCAGTGGAATGGCTCTGAGGGGCCGCCAAAGGCCTCTCCGGCTGGAGCAGTTGGACTCCGCCATGAGCAGCTTTTCGGCAAGCCTGGATCACTATGACCTGCAGGAAGATGCTGAGGAGCTGGATATGAGCTACAGCACTGATCACTGTGATGGCAAGCTGTTGGGTGAGTGACTCTTCACTACTCAAAGTGAACTCTGACCTCACCTTTTAATCCTCAATTCCAGAAAGTGTGGGCACAGGTGGGACGGTATGTAAAATGAAACAAGTGATCAGTATATTCTGTTTGACCTGTTTTAAATTGAAAATTTGTTGAAAAATGTTTAACCTGATAAACTTGTTTTTGGTAAACATGCACTTATTTCAAATTTGATGATTGCAGCATGTTTGAAAAAAATGTTGAAATAGCAACATGCTTACCACTGAGCACTTGTTCTTTTATTATACAACCCAGTGAAAGTGGATTTTTTTCCCCCATTCTTGCTTGTTATAAGTGAAATCCCCCCCCCCCAGCTTGCTTCAGCTGCAATTTTTTTATTTTTTTAGTTCAGAGTGCTTTACAGAATGGTGATAAAGCTTAACAGTAATAGAAGAAATTATGAGTATTAATTTAAAATCATGTAAGAAAATGACACAGATCAAATTAAAAAGATAAATAACCAAGACGTAGACTTTTAATTAAACGCTAAGTTAAAGAGATGTTTTCTGTATTTTACTGAAGGCATTTGCAGAAGGCCATTATCTGCAGATCTAAGATCACGTGCTGGAACATAAACGGACAGACATTCTGTGATGTAAGCTGGTGCTAGGTTATTTAGAGCCTTAAAAACTAGTGGCAGAACTTTAAATACAGGAAGCCAGAGCAGTTCCTTCAAAACGGGAGTGATGTAAGCGTTGTACAAGAGGATGAATCATTTTCTTAGGAAGTCCAGTAAGAAGAGCATTACAGTAATGAACTCTGCTTGTAATAAATGCATGAACAAGTTTCTCTGCATCGGGTGATTTTATAAATCTTGTTAAATGTTGATATCTGTGCCTTTTTTATGAGGACATGTAAAAACCAAATTTCAAGTTGAGTGTAGGGATCATGCTCATTTACAAGTCCACCTCTGTACAGGGCCTTCATTGTCTTATTTTGTGTTTTCTGATGCACCACATGATGACAGACGTTTATGCTGGAAATTATCTGGATGATTGTTATTATGCTGGAAAGTGAAATCCTTTTTTATTTCAGCTTTCTGACAGAGGCCAGCAAGTTTTGTACCAAAATATACTGATCTTTGCAGATTCCCATTATCCCTGTCTATCTTGACTAACACTTAACACATCACAAAAAACTGCAATTTCAGTAAGGTTGTGTAGACTTCATATATACACCATATCTGTGTGAGTGGACAAATAAGCTTTGTCAGAATGTATTCAATAACATTATTTTCATTGTGTGAGTTCAAAGGAACTGATCATGAAAATTGTGTGATTTCCGTAGGGTGAGTGTAGTTTCCAGTTTTCACAAACATTCAGTGAGAGCAGCAGCAACTATATATATAGTGTGTGTGTGTGTGTGTGTGTGTGTGTGTGTGTGTACTTATTTATCCATAGGTCTCCAACGATGAAATTCTGTTGAACTGCCCATCATATAAGCTGAATTAAATCTCATGCTGAAATTGTATAAGTGTATAGTATGGTTTCTTAGTGTGACATTTCCTTTGAACTATCAGGTTATTTACAATAGTGATGCACAAACAGCAGCCTAGCTCACTGAACAAGCACTACCTATGTGCCCCTCATCTTTCTTGTTCAGAAATATCTGTAGCAGCAGTTCAAAGCAGAGTGTTATAAGGTTTTGAATTATCTGGTACAGCAGAGCCCAGTGTCCCTAGGGAAATCCCCAAGTGCCAATAGTGTGCTCCTCCAGCTGGACTTTTGAATTGCTACCCTGCTGGACCTCTAATGTCACCCCTCCAAACCATTATTGTGCCACTTCAAAGGTTACATAGTCAATCTGATCACTTCCACCTATATAGAGCTGCTAGATTGCTATGCTGGTATCCGTTTGCCTCCAAATTGCAAGTCCAACATCAATGCAGCAGGTTTTCACTAAGTGTGTGTGTTTTTGTAATGTCATAATCTGTTGTTGTAATCTGTTATGTATTAACCAGAAATTTATTATCATACATTTTGTCAGAACAAAATCTTGTATCTCCGTTTTTGTCACTTTTCTTTTTCTTAAATAGTTTGAAAATGCTAGCTGCCCTTTTCATTGTGTGAAAATTTCATGCTGGATGTTCACTTCTTAACCTCAGTTTCCAAAAACATGTGACAATATGTGAAATGTAAATTAAAACAGAAAGCATGGATCAGTAAATTCTGCATAATCTGTACAAAAACAGTACAAACAAAAACAGTACAAAAAACACATTATTTGATATTTTTAGTTTGTATTTTTGTTTTGTTTTTTTTATTCTTTTTTTTTTTTGTAAAAATAATCTGATTTCAAATTTGATGCCTGTAACTTGTTCCAAAAAGTTAAAACAGAAGCATGTTTATCTCTGTATTACATCACCTTTGCTTTTAACAGCAGTTAATAGTCATTTGGTACTGAAGACACCAGTAAAAAGCAGAAGTTTTGAAAGCAGAATTTTTTTCCACTGTTCTGTTACAAAAGTCTTAAGTTGCAAAAGCACGAAAGGTCTTCTTTGTTGTATTTTTGCGCTTCATAATGTGCCACACATTTTCAATGAAACAGACATGTATACTGCAGACACCATACTCTCTGATTTTGCAGCCTTGCTGTTGTAACACGTGCAGAATCTGATGTCATGTTGAACTAAACATGGATGATCCTGAAAAAGGCATTGTCTGGAAAGCAACAATCCTTTTCTCCTTGAGAAACCTGACATCCATTATTTCCATAAGCAGTCTGAAAGATTAACCACAGTACTCATGTCCACTGTTCATCAGTCCATTTCAGATGAGCTTGAGCCCAGTGAAGTTCGCAGCATTTTTGGATGTCGTTAGCATATGGCTTCTGCTGTGCATCGTTCATTCTTAACTCGCATGTATGGATGTGGTCAAAGTATTCCCAAGTCCATTCAGTGATATCAATCACAGAAGCATGCTGGTTTTTAATGCAGTGCCATGTAAGGGATGAAAGGCAATAGGTGTTCAGTTATGGTTTTCATCTTTGCCCTTTATGCACAGAGATTTCTCCAGATGCTCTGAATAATTTGACGATGAGCATCTTAGAGGGGGAAATACCTAAAATCCTTGTATGGTGGTATTTGTTCTTAAACTGCTGGATTATTTGCGGACAAATTTTTGCCAAAGTGACAAGTTTCAATCCATCCTCTCTCATAAAAAGGACTGGACCTTTTCTAGATGCTTTGTTGTTTTATATTTAAGCATCACTTGTTTGTGAAATGTTCAAAAACATGTTAATGTTTCTAGTCTTAAATTGCCCCTGTCCCAGCCTTTTTGGAACATGTTGCAAGTATCAGTTTCAGAATGAGTGTAAATTCACCAAAAAACAATAGGTTGACAAGGTATTTTTTCCTTGTACTGTTTCAATACAGGTCAAAATGCATTTACAAATCCGTGCTTCCTGGTTTTGCATGTCACATACTACCCTTTTGAAATTGAGGTTCAGAAAGTTTTTTCCTTCTCCTGGAAAGTTACCAGTTTGGAAATATGAGGTTTTGTCTCATTAGCAATGATATGAAATTAAATAACAGGAGTAATCTAATATGTCTGATTCTTTTCAGAATCAAGACCCATCCCTTTTCAAGCGATATACATGTTTGTTCCTTTCAAGTCTTTGGACTGCACAGTGTTTCTGGAGGATGTGCCAATCCACGTGCAAGTGACTGAGGTGGAGCGCTTCACATATACAAGGGTAAAATAAAAAAAAAAACAATCTTAAACTGTATTTTTTTTTTCCACGTGTTTTAAATCTAGTTCATATCAAGTGATGTTTAGTCAATGTCTGTTTCAAGACTCAAAATCCATTTTCATTTTAAAGAAGGATTCATTCTAATGGTAAAAGGGAAAAAATATATATCTCAAATCATGCTTATTAATATTAGTATCTTCAGTTGAAAAAGTTTTTTTTTTCTATGTCTACTAGGCCTACAGAAATAAGTAACTGAATTTGTGTTTTTGAACTACTTCCTTGAAAGGTGTTGAATCCCAACCTGTATACCATCGAGCTGAGCCACGGGAATTTCACATGGAAAATCAAACGACGTTTCAAACACTTCCAAACTCTTCATCAGGAGCTTCTAAAGTTCAAGGCCCTCTTAAAGATCCCACTGCCAAGTCGAATGTAAGTTGTGCTAATTTATTTCACAGACACACACCCAGGAGCGTCTACGCCCAAATACACGTATACATCCACGTCCACATGCATGTGTGTACACACCTGTCTACAGTTGTATGCAAAAATTTGAACACTCCTGGGCAAATTACATATTTTGTTCATTTTCTAAGTGAAAATAATTTAACACATCCTCTACAGGGAACAGACTTAAATATGGCAAATATCTGCAATTTTTAGTGCACAATTTCTGTTTCTTGCTGAGTTTATCATAAGGTACAAAAACATTAATGTATATGTGTGTGTGTGTGGCTTTTATGTATATGTAACTTTTGCACAGGCCACATTGTATGTTTATTTTTTCCCCAATATGTTAAATTCATCAAATAAACAGTAGTTGTTTATCAAAATGTACAGATGTGTTCTCTGTAGTGGACAGGTGTTTATTTTCAGTAAATCAACAAAAAGTAAAAAAAAAAATTGAGCAGGCACATCCAGACTTTGGGATACCACTGTATATTGGAGATGTTTTGTATATGTGACAAAACATCTCCAATGGAATAACCTTACAGGAGAATATAAACACACCATTAACTTAGTGTATTAAATAGTATGGATTACAGAAATTGAAATCCAAGTAATTTTGGAGCATTTCTAGTGGTTCCTTTTGTAATGTAATGTGAAGGGCAGTTTTGTTCTGGCAGCAGCGGAATGTAATAATAACCTTAGTAACAAAAGAGAATTACTCTCTCACTTTAAAAAAAAAAAATAGATTTGTAGCTTTTTGTTGGTACTCATAATAATTTTTAGGGATGTGTCAATACCATTTTTTTTTCCAATTGAGTACAAGTACATATTTTTTCGTATTTACTGATACAAAGTCAGATACCATTAGGAATTACCTTTCTAGAATTAAGTATATGTTAGTGAAAATGTGTGCAATGTTCCTTAACAATTAAGTAATTAAAATCTGATTTTAAATGAAGGGCGTTTGTTTCACATCAGAAAAACACTTCTGTACAGCTGTAAGTAAAGTACGTTTCATAGTTTTGGTCCCCACTCCTCATCTATTTATTTCAGCAACAGTCTCTTTAGCACAGTGATCCCAGGAATCATGTCCAAGGCTAATCTGAACAGCTAACTTGTGGAGTTTTATTGCTGAAGTCTTTTGATTGGCTGATTGAGCTCTGGTTGAATGTCTTCTAAAGTCAGACTGTATTGTTCTTTGACACTCACCCTGCAGACAGCTCTGTCTGTGGACAACTATTCATCAAGCTGTTTTGTTTAAAATAACATGCTGCGCACCAAGTACTGAGCAAACATGCTGAAAACTGTGCTGCAGCAGCTGAGCTAACCACACTGTGCACTGAAATGTGCACGGTAGGACAATATGGTCTCTCTACAGCCTATTTTGCAAAGACAGCTTAAAAAAACAATGTATTCATGTTTATACCTTGTAATTCTATGCAGTCGAACAGTCAGCCTATATGAACTTTGTTAGCAAATATCGACTTTTTCACCTCCTTTCATCTAGTCTGTTTCTCCATCCATATTGGGGAAATGGTAGCGATTGTGGTTGTGTGTTTAAAAATTGGCTAAAATCACACAGTGTAGCCAGAGTGTTTAAAGTGACCCACGACTTTGTGTCTGATCTCCACAGCATCAGCAGCAGTTTACTGTGAACAAACCCTCGTTCACTGCCAGCTTGTCATTTGTTCATCTGCGTGGCAGTATTTCCTGGGCTTACGTCACATAATATCAGCGGGTATCGAATGTTAGTATTGGTGCATTGTTGTGAGTACAAGTAAATGAGTATGGTATCAGACCGATACCAGTATCGGTATGAATGTGTCCCAATTATTATTTTTTTTTTGATCCTAAAAAATGTGTGAATGCATGCATGCACACACACTCCCACACACAAAGTCCTGTGCTGAGAACATGCTCTATCCCGTTGCTTTTTGTATCACTAGATGTTTTCATTTTTCAGCTGGGTGTCCTCAGTTAGTCCCAGATGTTTCCCCTCAGCTTTTTTCCTAAACAGCATGTTCTCAGCTCAACTGCTCCACTAGCATTGATGCCTGTGAGAACACTGCAGTTAAACAAATCAGAGCATGTTTCACTGATGCACAGTATAAAGACTGGTGAAGATAGTAATGTTAAACACTGGCACCTGCTTACATAAATCTTACATAAGAAATATAAATTAGTATTACTTAAATTATTTCCTGTAAACCTAAATGGTCCTAAAGTCAGTGTGAATCAGAAATCAGTTGCTGCAGGAACATATTGACTCAACCAAACATCAGATGCTGTTTAGAGGCAGGAAAAATACACTAGACCTTGATCAAACATTAGGGAGAAACAAGAAATGTTTTTTTAAATGATAATTCAAAAATGATGATTTTGAATGATTGTGTTTTAAATGACCAAGGACCAGAGCTGGGCAGTATAACAATATATATTGTTATTGTGATAAATAATGTGACGACATTTATCACAAATACAATATGCTGTTCTGAACATACCGTGAATACAGTCCGTCCTTGTAGAACACTGACCAACTGCATGTTTCATTTTAAAGAGAGCAAAATTAGTACCATTTTAATGCAACACTGCATGCGCAATATTGAATAAATCATTGTGCTAAAATGTAGCACTGCTAATTTTTTTTATCTCTTCTAACTGTTCAGATATCTGAAAAATGAATATTGTTGCATACCATGTGTCTTGAAAATTGGTTCAAGAATCTGGATATTATATTTTTGCCATATCGCTCACCTCTACCAAGGACTTTTACTAACAAGGTCCATTTTGATATCAGGTTGACATTTTTCTGTTGATCCTCAATGTTTTTAGTAAACGTCTATTGTTGCTATAGAGATGGTTAGCAAACAGGCTGACATTTGTGCCTATACTTGCAGTTAAGCTCGATTTGCAATATAAAATGTATACGTTGTGCAACAATTTAATTTTAACTGTTTAAATTCTCAGTCTAGAGGTCATCTTCATTGTTCTGTCGTTCATCTTCTGGAAAATCTGAGTTTTTAGAGAATTTATGGGTTTGCTGAGTTACAGTACTATTAGCAACTGTATGTGATGAGCTTAAGGAAGAAATTTGAAAAGGTTTTCTTTTGCTACTCATTCAACACTTACAGGTTCTTTATATTTTCAAAAAGCAAACTTTATTTAAGATGTTTTATGTGGGTCATTTCTCTTTCCCAGTCACTCGGTCAAAAGGAGATCATTTAAAGGCCGCAAGATGTTTCAGGGAGAACACATGCCCACACTGCCCCGCAGACCTGATGCCTTGGTCAAAGAGGAACAGCTAATCAGCAGAAAAGTTAACTTACTTTCTTCTTAAACACTACTCTAATGGGAAAATATCAATGTTCTATCTAATTACCATTGTGATGACATTTGAGTATTTTAATTAACATGTCCTCTGTTTTATCATTTTTCTGTTTTACATGCTTTTTCTTCTTCATTAGATGCAGCTTGAAGACTATCTCAAGAATATTTTGAAAAGATTGTTATATAGGAATCATCCTGCAACAGTAAGTGACTAGTACATGGGAACTTTAATGCTGGTAACTGTCCAATAATGATATATTGTCCATTTATTGTGCTGTTAAAGCAAATTAGTATCACAAAATTGCAGCACTTCCCACAGTGTGTTTTGTATAGGCTGCTGAATGATTCTTAAAGTTTTCAAATTGTAATCCCAAGCTGGTCCCCATTTTGGAGAGGGAAGGTTCTAGAGGCGTGCCTGCTGTGTCTTTCATCATTAAAATGGATCCTTCAATATAGCACGCCTTGGCGAAGTGACTCCTCACTTACTGCAGAATATCAGACAGGATTGCACTCTGTCACGTTCATAATTAGCACTTGCCTGAAAGGCTAATTAAAGAGTACCTGTGTCCTCCACCACATCCATATCAATATTCAGCACATATGTTCCTGTCTAGTTATTCAGCCTGACCAGTGCTGAACATATCACAAAATTTTTACCAAAATCCCTACTTTTCAATTTAAAAAGACTACCTAACTGAAATATTGATAAGCGTATTTATAATAAAACAGAAGTGTTCAGCATATTCAAATGCATTTGCCTTAGAGCTACTTTATAGCTTTCAAATGCTAATGAACTCCATTTTGTGTTTAATTTTGATTTCAGCTTGAATTCTTAGAAGTGAGTCAAATATCGTTTATCCAGGAGCTTGGACCAAAGGGCATGTAAGAACGCACCAAGATGTACTTACTAAAAGAGATTATGCAGAATTTTCATTATCATTTTTACAATAATATTCTTGTTCAGTATTACTCTGTGTTCACTAGTAGGGTGAATATTGCTAAAGTGAGACACTCGGAAACATTACATTGTTAGGCAGTCTTTAACATGATCATGGCGTATAATCTAACCTGATGCTTTATAAAAGCCTAAAATCTCCTTTAGGCTAAAAGCAAAAATCAAGAAATACAAAACACAGATGGAATGAACCGTCATAGAACCTCTGTTAGTGGGTCACTAATTTTTTCAATTTTCAAAGTAAAAATGAAATGGATAGGGCTGATACTTTAATGAACACACTTTTAATTATTTTACTTTGCTTGTTACATGCATTTAAATTGTTTATAACTGATATCTAGGTGTCTGTTTTGAATCCAAAATTGTCAAGCTTGCTTTGTAGTTTTTGAGAAGCCAAGCAAGTTATATGTCTCTGAAAAATCAAACATAGGCCTCTGGATCTCATTTTGATGGTGTGGAAATCCTTTATTTGCCAGTAGTTACTGTGAATAATTGTAACCATTATTTTTGACATGTAAATAAGTAACAGAGACAACAAAAAGGTCCCCTTAAAATGACTTGTGGCTGTCTTAGTTTAACAGTAATGTCTTCTCCCACCTTATCGATATGCCAGTATGGTGAATTGGAACAGTAGAAAAATTGCTTACAATAAAAACATTAAAAATGGTGCACTTCTGTATCCCGTGTAAGATATACAACTTTTAATTCGTTTTGTTTATTCTCTTTTCATTAAATTCTGTGTTCCTGGTTTAGAAAAGGAAAAGCTACTCTCCTGGCCATGACAGCACAAACATGACAGCACGACCTCTCAATTCTTTACTTTCAAAGGAGGAACTCCAGTAAGACGTGGTTTTTGATCACTGAAATATATACACATACATGAAAATACTGGGGGTCCCACTTTACCCACTGTGCCACTTTATCAATATTCACTAGCGATCAAACAATTAAATATTTTTCATCCGTCTGATGAAGCCCTAATTATTAGTCCTTAACATGTTTTTGGTTACATGCCCTACACACCAATTTATATTCATTTCCTTTTTAAAAAGTGAAGGTTTTATCCTGAAAAAATCTGGAGGAAACACGTTTCCAGTCTGTTACTGGTGTGGATCCAACAGTGTGTGTTATCGCTGGTCGAAAAGGTAAGATCTGCTCTCTCATCATATTTATCTTTTTTGTTTCTTTATTCAGGTACATTTCATTGCCATGAGGATGAGCAAAATGGTTATCTGTCAAATCATGTTACACGGCCCCTTTTTTGTTGTTGTTCCAAACCACACCCTTGAAAGAGAGAAAAGCCGATACCTCTTTTTTTTGTGAGAAACAGCTCAGGCTGACAGGCTTACAGTCATCAATGTGACCTTCAGTCTTTATTCCTCTCACAAGTGCCGCAGCACAGAACAGAGCTGCCCCTGAAATGAGTAGGACAGAATAACACATGCTCGTGTTGAACTATTCCTCCTCTGTGGAGAAACACTGTTTTTATTTCAGTTTTACAGGCAGCTAGTGTTACGCTTGCAAAATTCACACAGCTCGTAAAAGCAAACAGTGAAGCTAAGCTCCGATTGAATTTTGCTCCTCAGATTGCGGCCCTAGCTGGGCACTTGGGTCGTGCCGTGTCTTTTGTTGCGGCCGTTTACTTATTTTTGCTTATTATGGCTGTTTTCCTATGGTGGCTGGATCAGCTCTCTCCATGTCTCAGCTCTCATCGGGCGCCCGCTTCATGTTTCAGATGGCTGGTGGTGAAAGACTCCTTTGTTCTCTACATGAGGCCCGAGGATGGCCAAGTAGGGACGGTGATTCTCTACGATAAGGGCTTCCACATCAAAATAGGGACCCAAGAGACTGGAGTCAGGCATGGAGTGACAATTGAGAATCTTTGCAGGCAGGTCATCCCGCTCTTTTAATCCATTTTTGTCCATATCTGAAATGTTTAATTTTCTTTGGCCTATTTGAGTCTACCTAAGCATAAATCAAAAGAAATTTTTTATCATCCACAAGGTCATGAACATTAGCAAAATGGGCATTTTTAGTTGCTCATCCTTTTGATCAAAAATTATCAAAAATTGAACCTTTATTTGAAGTACAATGACTGAAATAAATAATTTAAATCACATCATGAAATAAATATTTTTCTCAAATTTATGTGTGCCACAGTTGAAGGCACCCCTTCATTTAACACGTTGTGCAGCCTTCCTTGGCAAACATAACAGCTCTGAGTCTTCTCCTGTAAAGCTTAATGAGACTGGAGAGCACATGGCAAGGGGTCTGATGCCGTTCCTCCATATAGAATCTCTCCAGATCCTTCAGATTCCAAGGTCCATCTCCTCTTTAGTTCATGCAACATGTTGTGGCAAAACCTTGATTCTGTAGTCAGTGAACCATTTTGTTGTTGACTTTGGATCATTGTCCTGCTGGAAGATCCAATCACAGCCCAGAAAAAGATTCTTGGCTGAGGCAGTCAGGTTTTGATTTAATGTCTGCTGGTTTTTGGAGTCCATGATACCATGCATTCGAACAAGTTGTCCAGTTCCTTTGGAGTCAAAACAGCCACAACATCATGGGTCCAGCATCGTGGTAGAACAGTGGGCTACTAAAAGTTCCGGTAACGTCTGGCTAACTGTAGGTGCTTGAGTTTGTTTTTTCTTGACAGCAGAGGCTTTCTTCTGACCACCCTTCTAAACAACTTACGGTTGTGTTGTTCTGACTCCAAGACCTAAGTAATGTCTGCAGTTCCCCAGCTGTGATCCTTGGAGATTGATCGTCCTCTTGAACCGTCCTTCTCACTGTATGTGGCATCAGTATAGACCTATGTGCTCTTGTCGGCAGATTCTTAATACTTCCAGTTGCTTTAAAGTTCTTAATTATTGCCCTGACACTAGGGCATGTTCAACTCTTGAGCTATTTTCTTGTAGCCATTTCCTGATTTGTGCAGCTCAACAACCTTTTGTCGCACATGATTGCTGTATTCTCTGGTCTTTTTCGTAGTGGTGGATACGGGGATTTGGAATATTATCTCATATTTATACCCCAGTGAAACAGGAAGTCATGGCTGACTATTTAAGTGTTCATAATTGCTCAGGTGAATTTTAAGACATAAAATATGAATGGGAATGTACTTCAGTTTGATTTCACTCATAAGAATGACAGGGTTGCTAACAATTATGACACAAAGAGATTTGAGAAAAATAATATATTGGAAAAAAAATTGTAAAATGTAATTAATAGAAAAAAAGACACCCCCACATCTATTACTACAACCCCAATTCCAAAAAAGTTGGGACGCTGTGTAAAGTGTAAATAAATGTAAATAAAAACAATGCAATGATTTGCAAATCTTATAGAACCATATTTTTTATTCACAATAGAACATAGAACACACATCAGATATTGAAAGTGAGCCATTTCATGAAAAACATTAACTCATTTAGAACTTGATGGCAGCAATGCATCTCAAAAAAGTTGGGACAGGGGCAACAAAAGGCTGGAAAAGTTGTGTAATGTTAAAAAACGCACCTGGTGCTTAATCGCCAGCAGGTCAGTAACATGATTGGGTATAAAAAGAGCATCCCAGAGAGGCTGAGTCTTTCAGAAGTAAAGATGGGGAGGAGTTCACCACTTTGTGAAAGACTGCAGGATAAAATAGTGCAAGAATTCAAGAACAATGTTTCTCAATGTAAAATAGAAAACTTATGCTTTTCATCGTCTACAGCACATAATATCATTAAAAGATTCAGAGAATCTGGAGAAATCTCTGTATGCAAGGGACAAAGTCTAAAACTAATATTGGCTAGCTTAGATCTTTGGGTCCTCATGCGGCACACTGCCACATAGCATGATTCTGTAGCGGAAATCACTGCATGGGCTCAGGAACACTTCCAGAAATCGCTGTCTATGAAAACTGTTCGCTGTACAATCCACAAATGCAAGTTAAAGCTGTATCATGCAAAGAAGATGCCATATATCAACACAATCCAGAAACGCTGCTGTCTTCTCTGGGCCAAAGCTCATTTAAAATGGACTGAGGAGATGTGGAAAAGTGTCGTGTTCTGATGAATCAAATTTTGAATTTCTTTGTGGAAATCATGGACACTGTGTCCTCTGGGCTAAAGACCCCTCAGCTTGTTATTAGCACACAGTTGAAAAGCCGGCACCCATGATGGTATGGGGTGCATTAGTGCACATGGTATGGGTTTCTTGAACATCTGTGAAGGCACCATTGATGCTGAACGAAATACACGGGCTTTGGCAACATATGCTGCCATCCAGACAGCATCTCTTTCAGGGAAGGTCTTGCATATTTCAGCAAGAGAATGCTAAACCACACACTGCATCCATCACAACAGCATGGCTTCGCAGAAGAAGAGTCCGGGTGCTGAACTGGCCTGCCTGCAGTCCGGACCTTTCACCAACAGAAAACCTTCATCATGAAATGAAAAATCCAGCAAAGAAGACCCAGGACTGTTGAGCAGCTAGAATCCTACATCAGACAAGAATGGGACAACATTCCTGTTTACAGAAGAGGGGATGCTACACACTGGTAGACATGGCCCTGTCCCAACTTTTTGGAGATACGTTGCTGCCATCAAGTTCTAAATGAGTTAATGTTTTTCATGAAATGCAAAAATGTCTCGCTTTCAACATCTGATATGTGTTCTATGTTCTATTGTGAATAAAATATGGGTCTATGAGATTTGCAATTCATTGCATTGTTTTTTTTTAATTTACATTTTATTTACATTTTACACAGTGTCGTAACTTTTTTGGAATTAAGGTTGTACTTAAAATGCCTACAATTAGAATCAGGAGCGTCACATCAGCTGCAAGTGATTAGAACATTGTTAGAGAGGATTTTGAAGGAACCTGTCTTATTTGAACCTCAGACATTTAATTTTGTTCGCTCTTGATTGTTAAAATGAGTTGTATCATCATGGCAAGATCCCAATCGCGGTCTCTGAGGCCTTCAGAAAGAAGGTTGTAGATGCATTAAGTCTGGGATTTAAAAAGATCTGAAAACAAGAAGAAATCAGCTACTGTCCAGAAAATAATTCACAAGTGGAGAACATTCAACTGCCAACATGGCCAGGTCAGGCCACCTGAGCAAGGTTAGCCCAAGAGCAGACCCCAAGATGAGTAAAGAAGTCTCCAACAATCCTAAAATGTCATCACAGGACCTACAGGTAGCTTTTGCCACAGTTGATGTCAAAGTACATGCATGAACCATCAGAAAGAGACTGCACAAATTTGATTTTCAGGGGAAAATCAAATCTGCTGTCCAAAAAAACAAAAAAAAAAAACATCCGGGCAAGACAAAAGTTTGCCAGAGAACACTAAGACAAAGACCAAGATTTCTGGAACAATGTCCTTTGGACAGATAAATCTAAAGAATTATTTGGGCACAGTAACAGGAGACATATTTTCGCACAAAACCAAACACAGCATTTAAGCACAAGAAGCTTATACCAATCAGGAAGCATGTAGGTCGAAATGTCATGGTTTGGGGCTGCTTTGCTGCAGCAGGGCCTGGCAAGCTCTCCATCATAAAATCCACTATGAATTCTTTATTTTATCAGAGGGCGCTTGAGGAAAATGTGAGACCATGTGTCCAAAAACTGAAACTATAGCTGAGGCGGACGTGGACCATGCAATATGACAATGACCCAGAACATTCAAGTAAATCCAGCAAGGAATGACTCAAAAGAAAGAAATGAAAAGTTCTGGAATTAACAAGTCAAATCTCAATCCTCTTGAGATGTGGGGTGACTTGAAACGGACTGTACATGCAAGGTGGTTAATGCAATTACATCACCCTTATCTATAGATATTGTTTGAAATATCAAATATTGATATGTCCATATAAGATTAAGATATATATATGCAATTAGCATATATAAGCATAAAGACTTTAAGACATGAAATGTTTACACAAACCAAGGCTTTTTCAAATACTATAAAGTATCCTCCCGCATAATTATAAAAAAAAAATTGTGTTAAGACTGAGGTCAACTGATTAAATAAGTAGGATCAGCTGTTCTACTGCTTGCAGTGAAAACTTGCAGCTATACCAGCCCTTTGTGGACAAGATTAGTGACCCCTGGTCTGATCTGTGCAAAAGCTGTCATGGATCTGCTTTTGATTTTTAGGGCTTGAAGAATGCTAAATGAAGTTAATTATTTATGTCTGCAAACATCCAGAAGGGGGAGCTCTTGCTGATTCGCTTATTGATAAAATGGCAAAAATGAACACTACCTTAAAGTCTTTTCACCATCATTTTTCAGTAAAACCACCCCAAACTAATATTTCAGTTTGCAGAAAAACTGTTTGTATAAAGACCAATAACTTATGCCATTAATGCCTGTTGTGACTAACTAAGGTTGACTACAGGTAGACACTGCACCTCTGCCACAAACTGCCAAATCACACTGCTGTTATCAGTGATTAGATCTGCGTTTGGCTTTGGAATCTGAATTTGGTTTGATTGAGCATTTTACTCTTGAGTTTGGCTGAGCAGGCTGCCCAGCCTATATAATTTTTGGGGAAACACTGAACAAATGAAAATGTATATTATAACTTGCAACTCAATTCTACAATATGTAATCTTTTTTTTTATTTTATATACATTAATGTATTTTGAGATTTGTTTATTTAATTTCAGCATATATTTTCTAAATTGACAAATGAAAATAATAATTGCAAAAGAAAATTGTCTAATAATAGTAAGTACACCTCCTCAGAGAACACACGTCTGTCCATTTTAATGCACAATTAAACTAAAATTTGCAGAGAAATGCCATATTTCACTTTGTTCTTTGTGGAGGATGTGTTAACTTGTTTACACTTAGAAAATCATGTAATTTGGTCTTGGGTGTCCAAACTTCTGTGTATGGCTGTATGTATTAATTAAATACATTGAATTTATATTAGCCATTTAACTGCCTTTGCATCCATTTCATCAGTACTTCGTTCTTTATTGCAGGGCACTTACCATTAAGTGTTCAACGTATAGGCAGGCTCGCTGGTGGGGGCACTCCATTGATGATTTTGCCCAGAGGTTTGGGCAGGACTTTTTGAGAGAAAATCGGCATGGCTCTTTCGCCCCTGTCAGAGAAAACACAACGGCACAGTGGTGAGAAGCAATGAAATACAGAGCAGTAATCTTTTACTATATAATACACTATGTTTAAACTTTTGTTGTGTATTATGATATTCTACACTCACTCAACTGAAGTACGTGATCCAGAGTGAAAATTACTCACTTTGTTTTCATAAAACTTGAACATTTCACATCTTTTGAATCACTTCTACCTAGGCTGTTCAGTCACCAATACATTTTATTTTTTAGGAGTTCCATTTAACATGCCTTTCCTGTTCTCTCCTGTCTGGATGTGAACAGTACTTCCTTGTACAATTACTGTATAAGAAATATCTGTGAGGCACCCTGGTACTGCTTTTAAATGAACCGTCCTGTGCCTCTTTTGAAGGTTTGTCAACGCAGCTGGGTACTTTGATGCCATAGCTGATGCCCTGGAAGGTGCAAAGGAGGAAATCTTCATCACAGCCTGGTGGTACAGATTAGACTCAGCATCAATCATTCCTCTTGTGCCTAGGTTTGACGACGCTGTGAGCACTTATTTCACACCCCTTGATGTAGTAGAGGAACATGCGGGACTCGTTTTTGCACACCATAGCATGCATGCTTGTTCCCCAGAATCAAATCTCATTCCACCTGGGGATATTTGTTATGAACATTTTTGACAATGTGCGAATGTCTCCCTTTCTGGATAAAACTCAGTAAGATTTGGTTGCTCACAAAACTCTCCCCAGTATTTTTAGGTTTAGACTGCTTTAAAACCCTCTGGGATTTTATGAAATTTGAATGCATTGTTAATGTAATCACATTAGCACTAATTTTATTTCTTGCATCCTGGAGCGAATTTAAAGTGAGTTCATTTAAGGTAGTGCTGCAGTGGTATTGTATTCATATTTCTCTTGTGGTCTTTAGGCTGAGTCCAGAGATCTTCCTCAGAAGACCAGTGGTGGATGGGAACACGTGGAGATTAGACCATGTTTTAAAACGAAAAGCGGTGAGTATGTTCATCAGCTTGCAGTTTATAAAATAGAATAATACATGAATTTGGAAGTGAATATTACTTTTCAGCTGCTACATAGTACACTGCATACGCGTTGCATAACTCTATGAAGTCGTATTTTGCAGTTTTGACCAATGGATAAATGCTTACATCAGATTGCTAGTGACCTTGTTTTCATTGCATTGCATTCAACAAATGCCCTTTGTGGATGTGTCTGTTAATTAGCAATGTAGGTGACCTTAGTGATTGATACCTGCTGGTCAGAAAGCTGAAGTGCGCCATTATTTGGCTCAAAATAGCCTACTACATACTGCACACATTGCACACATGCACTGATTCTGCCCAGAAAGTAGTATGTGCAGTGCGAATTTCACCAATATGCCAAAGATTTCCGGATGACATACTGCTCTGGCCAAATTTACCAGTACACAGCCAGAGCTATCTCCGTGATATACCACTGACATAACTGCCTGGTTTGCTTTTTCCAAAGCTGATATTTTTTTTTTAATTTTTGTGGGTTTGGAGATGGGTAGAAGACAAACCCCTTCACTCTGTCATGGAATCATTTAAAACTCAGCAGGCACATTTCTTGACCAAAATATATCCAACTGAAAAGAGCTGAAAAGCGGCTAGCAGCAGTTCCTGTGCTATCCAGTGATTGGATAGCTTGACTCAGTCTTGGATGTTGGCTGTCTAGTCATGCCCCTGCCCTGTAGTATGGCTGTGTCATATGCTGGATACTGTACTGTACACAACTATGAAGAGTAGCACACAGTGTACAGTATTTTCTAATGCAGTATGTAGTACAGTAGTGTGCCATTTCAAACATAGCCTTTATTTGAGTGACTGCACCCTGATGCAATGGCTACTACATGTTGGTAGCTTTCTCTCTTCTGCCCTGTCTTTTTTAACATTTTTACAAGGATGTGACCTGGAAATAAAGACAGTTTTAATGTTTAGTCATGGTACAGTGAACTTTGAAAATGTATGAATAGTTCAACAGTGTCATGGCTGTGTTAGAGGTAAGAAAGTAACACATTGCAATAAAGTACCGGTAACAAAGTAGTGTACATTACGCTTAGTAACTTCATAAAGTATTTGTTACTTGCATTACTCATATGTCTCTTACAGAGCAATATTTCCCACAGTGCATTTAAATCGTAAATTTACTCTCTATATAGATTATTTACACCTGTTCTTGAATGTAATTTGCGTGGGCATGTGCTACCTGCAAAAGCTGGCTGTGTGATTTTGATTGTGAATGTGAGCAGTGCGAGCACAGGAAGCACCGAGCAATCTGTCAAAGCATCTAACCGTGCTAATGTAAAACTGATGGATAAAGATCCTGGTGTTGTAGAAAAGCAAGACCCAACCTCACCTGACAAGCCAAGACTTTATTTTCATTCAGGAACAGAATTTATATTTTATTTGTAAAGATTTTATTTTGGGTTCCTAAAAGCTGCTTATAATTGCAATAAAACATAACCAGTTATGTCTTGTTCAAAGTCAGGGATAGTGACAGACTTTTTAGATGACGTTTTCTCTAATTGGCTGTTGCTTTCTAAATGACTTACTAATAAATAATTACTGGTACAGATTTGTATGGGTTAAAGTACTTTTTCCTAGTCAGTAACAAGTAATCCATTAAAATTCAAGATTAATTTGTAATGAATTACTTTTGAATAGCTACCCCAACAGTGGATGCAAGTTGCTGTGTTATGAAGTTTGTGTGCACTTAAACCACATGGACAAGGTTAAAGCAAAAGCACTGACTTGTTTCTGATCGTCACCCCAGGAACAAGGCGTAAAGATCTGTGTCTTACTCTACAAAGAGGTTGAAGTCATCTTGGGCCTTAACAGCGAATACACTAAGAAGACTCTGATGGGCCTTCACTCCAACATCATGGTGAGTCCTGCAGTATGTCAGATGTTCCTAAAAGCTGGCTGCTCTCCTCCACTGACAGTGATACAGAGGGGAGCTGTCCCTCTGCATCAGCCTTACTCCCTCCCCCCTCCACATCACACAGCCGCTCCTGTCCCTCCAAGAACAAAGCCCCTATCAAAACATATCACGCACAGCACTGGATCACCCAGCTTGTTTCTGGCCCCCCGGCCAAAGGGAGGGGCCGGTTACTTAGATCATATTTGGGTTTTGCCAAATCCTCTCTAGCAGAAAGAAGGGAGATCACTCTGTTTTGAACCCTACACATCGTGTCTGGAGGTGGTCAGGTTGTTCCTTGCTGGTTGTCTGGGTAAGAGCCTGAGGCTGTAAGTCTGCGTTGGTCTCCTTCGATGTGGAGGAGCCATCTTGGCATTGTATTGTGGCTCTGCAGTGTCCATCACTGCAGCAGGCTCACCCCGGGCTGGGGAGTGATTGACGCACCGTCATATTATCTTATTGGAGTGCTAGTTGAAATTGTGCAGAAGAATGATGCTGGGAAGTGGCTGGGGACCCACACCCTGAGGAGACGGCCAGCACAGCAGCTGGGTGGAGGTATATTCTTGGGCCCTGCTGGTGCACAAGCACCTGCCAGGGGCAGCATCCTCTAGAGGCTCTGCAAAAGCTGGTGGAGGCGCAGCTGTACTTGTTTCTCACATTGGGTGCCACCATCTTGTGAGCCCTGCTATTTTTGGCACAGAGCCAGCTGTATTGCGGACTGAAATTCAATTTGTCCCCCCACCCTTTCTAGAGATCTTTCCAATGTTCCAGTGTACCAATCGGTATCCCCTAAAATCCCACACTAATCATGTTATTTATCCTAAAACACATTTAGTAATTTTAGAAAGGACTATAAATTATTCAGTCATATTACAACTATGAATTAGTCTAATCAGGGGTAGGTTGTAACTAGTTACCTTTATCTACATGTGCTGAAGCAAAATGTTGATGGATTTGTACTTTTGTGATTTGTTTTCAAATACTGATATTTTGTTTATTTGCTTTATCTGTGCTACTTTTTTTTGGTCACACCTCTGAAGATTTATTAATTTATTTCTGACCAGGAGTGCATTTAAAAGAAGATCATAAACATTCTTTATGTCAGCCATGGCAATATGCTTTGGCTTTGAATGCTGGATGTTTTTTGGTAGTGTTTTCCTCAAATTTTTAGCACAATTATTCAGACATACGTGTGGTGCCCTCAGTTGCCTTCACTAAAATATTTTGGGTGACAGACATCCATTTATTGTTATCTACATTAGCCTCATAGATCCAATCTTAAACTAAAGAAAGCAAACTTCGGACATCAAACATGTCTTTGCTGATGAGCTGTATTTTAAGATAGGAGGAGACGTTACAAGACACAGCATGTTTGGAAAATGTATTCTGAAAAATACCTAGGTGGCCCACTTTTTCACAGGCCTCCCCAAAAATTTGCCTCTGCCTACATCGCTGGCTAGCAGTTGCTACCTGTTGAGATAATACAGTACCTTGCTGAATGATTACATCAAATTTATTTAGGTGAAACACTGCCTTATGAGGAGAACAATGAACTTTTCATATCTTACTGTGTTGCGTGATAGGTGATCCGACACCCTGACCACGTTCCGTCCACAGCACTCCTCTGGGCTCACCATGAGAAGTCAGTGGTGATTGATCAGTCGCTGGCCTTCCTGGGGGGCATCGACCTTGCCTATGGGAGATGGGACGACTACCAGCACAGACTGACCGATGTAGGCAGTGTGAGAAGGAGTCCTCAGCCCAGTCCTGCACTGTCCCCTAGCCTCACCAGAGTAAGATGGCCACAGCTTCATCATCATTATCACCATCCCATAAAAAAGTGGCTCTTCAGGAGCTCAACAGTAACAGCAGTGGTTTTGTACATAACCATGTCAACTCTTTTAAATGCATAAACATGGTCCTTGATAGCACCAAAAAAGGGTTCCACTGTTGTTATGAGTCAAAGTACTTATTTTGTACTACATAGAACCCAAAAGTGCACTGATATTTTTTTCATTCAATTTTGATTAGATAAACTTAGATAGAATTTACTTTAGACATGCACAGTTAGAGGACTTTTTTCAGTTTTAAGATTTCTGCACAATTCAGTCATTAACATAAACAGAGTCGTTCAGAGTCAATCAGAGCTTTGATGAGAAATGCTACGTTCAATCAGAGTTGTTCACAGTGATGGTGATAGGAACCAGACGCCTGAAGTGTTTAAACGCTAAAGAAACCAAATGTACAAATTGGCTGCCTGTTGCCTGAGACATTGTTTTACTGTGATTTTGCGATTTTGTGGGGAATTTTGAAAAAATGATGGATTTCTCATATTTTTTCAGCGAATAAGTTGAACTGACTCTGGGCTTATTATTCAGATATTAACCTTAAAACTATATTAAAAAGTTGTTTCATAACCTCTATAAATTCATTAGTAACTAGTGTAAGAAATAATATGTAAGTTACAGAAGTTATGCGGGACAAATGTCGACCCTTAGGGTTTAAGGGGTTAATTATTACAATCAACCCTGAAATAACCTGAAGTAACATATCAACAAGAAGTTGTACTTGCTGTACTACTTTGTTCCGACTCAGTGAAGTAAAGCATTTTACTTACACTCCTCAGAGATATAAATAGGTCTTCAGTGAGTTTCAGAAATAGAGGGTATCACTGGCTGTTCAGACGGGCTTCTCCAGTAAGCTGTAAGCAAATTGGACAGGAGTAAACTTGCTGTAAATGTGACCCATGGAGAGCAATAGCCCACAGTGGCCCTGCAATGTTTGTCAACATCAGGCTGACCCCATCAGTGTCGGCGACATGCTATTGCCAGCTGGGTGTTTCCGAGATCTGTCAAAGTGCTCAATGGGGGAATGCAACATGCACCTGACAGCTGCCAGCCCAGACTCCTTCTACTGATCAGCACCAATGCACCAATGAGCATCTATGTGTACAGCAGATCTGTCTGCTACTTTGTAGCAGCTGCATGAACAATTACAATTATACAGTCAGTGTTAGGTAATGGCAGACTACACGTAATCTGAATGACATAATCTGATCACAAAAATAAAGTGCAGAGTAGGATACCTTTTTTAAAAAAAAGGCATAATCAGTTACTTTCTTATTGACTGCTATTTTTTAAGGACAATGTATTTAATAGTTAAAAAATGTGTATGAATGAAATATCATGAACCCAGTTTAGCAATTATGAAAACAAATGTATCAGAAACTTATCAAAAAGTTATCTAAACATATCTGATCTTATCAGAATGGATCACATCTTTCAAGTAATCTAAAAGATTATGTTGCTGATTACAAATTACATTGATAAAATGGAATCAATACTGGATTACATTTCTCAAATAATCCAACATTGTATATGGATCAGCTCATAATTTAGCATAAATTAAAGGCATTTAATTTGCTCAGGACAACTACTTAAATAAATTGAGACAAGGTCTTACGATACAGCAGGTAATGTATTTAGATTTTTTTTTCTTTATATTTTCAGCTGTTCCGACAAAAACTAAACTTGTGTCTGGACAGCATATTGTGCTGAGAAGATCACTGTGGGCCTGGTTTGAACTTGAAGTCAGGTTTTTGTTATGCGGATTGATTTTCTTTTGTGGCTAGTGTCTGCAGGTCTGGATCTTCGTTTTTTCCACTAGCAAACGTAAAATCACAATTACAGAGCATCTGGGGCACCCTTGAAGGGCCTGCGGTTGCTAATCCCAGTGCTCTCACGCTGAGGAACATTGCCTGGCCTCACCGGGTACTTCCTTCCCCCTGGAGAGTTGCATTAAACATAAAGGGCCTGCATGGATGAGTGAGTCAACAAATTACTGGGGGCCACTAAATGGGGGGGAATGATTTCGCTTATATGCCACCTCTCGCAGGCTGCAGCCTACCTGCCTGCCATTGTGTCATTAAATATGGGCCTGGGCTTTTAAATAAACATGATTTCAGCCCTTCCAAATCGAGATGCTTATTGCATGTACTTAGGGGCTTCTCTCCCCATGCATGAGCGGCTGTATCCATCAACTCGGGCCTCCTCGACTGTAAAATCTTTGCTAATATACATGAAACTGTTACAGCTGTTGGTCTAACCTTTCCAAACGTCTCCTAAGGAGCAGAGTGATATTTGCACTTAATAAAATTATGCCCACCGGGAGGAGACTGCTGTGACATTTGCCATTTGTCAAGTCCAGACCACTATGATCCTCCATGAGCCATTAACCTGAGCACTTCAGAGGCTATTTTCCTCTGCACTCCAAATGCAGCTCAGTGTGGATGGGGACAGCGAGGACTGCTTTAGTAACACGTTACACTCACTGATACTCTAATTCATGTCATGAAGTCGAGCCATTGATTCAGGACAGGTGGGCCATTACCAGGCCCTAAGACCTTCGAGCCAACAGGCAGCTCAATACATCAGCTGCATTTAATATGGCATGTCGTTACCATTACACAACAGTACTGAGCGAGGATAAGTTCTGCCATAGACTTTGAGGCTTTTTTTCATTAAACATATGGTAGAAATAGATTGTCTTTACGAGAGAGCAGGTGGCAGATATTACTGAGAAAATACTACATCTGACAAGAGGCTCAATAAACACAGAAGATGCAAGCTAGCCAATACATAGCAGCTTAATTTGTTAACACAATATTTAGTGAGACAGTTAAAAAAGAAAAAAGCTTAAAAGTGCTAAAATAACTATGTTCATGTGTCATGAATATTTGTTATTTTGTTCAGTGAACTTCTACACAGATCTTTGACATGGACATGGATTGATGTAAAATATAAACTAGACTCTGGAATGTATTTTCAAATGTTTTATTCATTTTTTGGGAACAGTGAATGAATATATGGCAAGCAACTGAAATAATGCAATTATGTATTTATAGTCATTTCTTTTCAGCTTTGAGATTTGATGGTCATTTTTCAAATATGAGACACTGTGGCTATTAATTTAATTGTAATTTCATTTTTTATCCTTTCCTGATTATTATTGAATCATTTACAGCTGTGTTCATCATTCTGAGCACACTGAATGAACATCCTACATACATGTCTAAAATGATTCTAATGCTAATATTCTATAACTTATTTATTATATTATTTATTATTATTATATATTCTATATAGCTGTTAAAAAAAGTTGTGTCCAGAATGATGAACAGAGCTGTAGATGATTCTAAAAAGCTTTTAAACAGTTTTAATGAAATTACTGTCCAGAATGCCTTGTATTTGACAAGTAGTGATAGAATCTTATTCTTATTCGTTCTTTGGTGTTCTAAAAACATTTTAAAATACCTTCTGGTGCTTTATTAGTGTCAAAATTGTCATTCTACAATTAATTTTATTATATAATAAAACCTTTAAACAGTATGTATAGGGTACTAACATTATATTACAATCATTGTATGTGTGTACCTGCAACAAAACTGATTTTATGTGATTAAAAACAGTGACTGAAAACTATTAAATGGTATCGTATGGGTTGACATTAGCTGGGTCTATATACATAAGTAACCCAGACTGTCCATGTGTCCTGCAGCAGTCTGCTGCTACAGTGCTGGAGGAGGATGAGGAGATGAAGTTCAGTGTGGTGCTGGAGGAGGAGCTGCTGGGTGGAAATGGAACAGGACAGCCAGTGGAGGAACAGGGGGAGAACAGCATGTCTCTCACCCTCCCCATCAGCAAACCCCACGCAGTATCATCAGAAGATAAGAGCAGACGCAGCTCAGAGGCCACAGAGTCCAGTAAAGGAACACATTAATAGGCTTTTTCATAGTTCATTTGACATACTATAGTGTAATAAGTATAAGTAATTGAAATTATTGTATATAAAGTAGGTATGTAATGATGCACATTTTTAGTTTTTGATAGTTTTTGATTCCATTTTCAATATTTTATGTGTCTAAAATGTCTGGATACTACAGAGCACTAATTACGTATGACACAGATATAAGTTTTCCAGCAGAACCTTTTCAGCGTCTGCTTCACCAGTCCTCTAAAAAATCACTCATAGACTTCAGAAGAAAAGCCAAGTCATTTGAATGTGGGTGCATGTATAGCATAAACCCTGCCTACCTCCCTGCTCACTGTACTGCAGTAGTGTGCACCCAGACTCCTAGTTTTGATCCCTGACTGCGGTTTCCATGAAAGATGATAAACGAGAGATTTTCAGAAAAGAGATGGGTACATAGGCGCTTCAGTTTCGTTACATTGTTTCGAATTAGATTTTTTGATACTGTATTGAAATCTTTACACCCTTAAAATTAAATGACCAAAAACATTAACAAATCTTTCCAAACTATTGAACACTACTGTATTGCTGACATACAGTATATACAGTTGGACGCAAAAGTTTGAGCACCCCTGGTCAAATTATGTTTTGCTAATTTTCTAAATCAAAATAAGTTATGTCATCTCCAGAGAATACACTCCTGCACATTTTAATGCACAATTACCATTTATTTGCTGAATTTCACATATTTTATGTTTTATTTTTCCAATATGTTAAAGTAAATAAATAGAATAATAAATAGAAAACATGCATTAAAGTAAGCAGAAAAATGGCATTTTGAAGAGTGTTCTCTGAAGAGGATGCGTAAACTTGCTTTTATGTAGAAAATTGATTAAAAACGTAATTTGGGTGTTTAAACTTGCTGACAGCCTGACTGGCCTGAACACAACCTTTGCAGGGTGTCTACTGATGACATCTGCACAGTGATGATACTGTCTCTACATAGGGCATGTAGATATCCCAGTTGTGCACTGTGTGTATGTGTGTGTAGAGCATTGCAGCAGTAGGAACAGTGTGAGCTCCAGATCGCTGCCTGCTCGAGACTGGTACACTAAGAGTGTGTCTCTGCGTTCAAGTGACTCCTACTCACTGGGTCTTCACCACTCACTCCTGTTGCCTCACGGTCAGTGACACACACACAACATTAAAATGCTGGCAGTGTATAGCAGGAACAAGATGTTTTGTCTATCAACTTTTTTCCTGCATTTTTTACTTTTTTGAACAGTTATTTTTTCACTCATGATGTTTGTTTGTGTGGTTTTTGCATCATAAACAGTCAAAATTAGAGATCCACAATGAATCTTATCCATATGGCTAGATAATTGTTAAAAAAAAAAAACATTATTAGGCAGATGTTTAGATTTGACTGATATTTCAAATCAATGTTTATTGATGTATTTCTTGTACTCTTGAAGAGCAGAGCATTTAGGTGACTGGTCTACTGTGATAAAATGTCCGCATTATTTTTACTTTACTGCAGTTACACATATGCATTTTTCTGATGTTACACATATAAACATGTTATATTTCTCTGTAATGCTTATCCAGGTAGATCCTGGTAGTCCTGACGTCTCCTTTTTATAAATATTTGTGTTGGCATCAGCAGATATGCACATAATACAACATCAGATATCGCCACTGGCCCGCAGTTTTTATATCTGTGCATCCCCAGTCATCATTAAATCTAAATGTTATGACCCATATGATTGAAACAGGCTGTTGTTGTTACTTTGTATATATATGTATGTATGTGTGTGTGTGTGTATATATATATGTGTATGTATGTGTCTGTGTGGCTGTGTTCTGGTTGGTTGCCCCGTGTTGTGCCTCATTTTGTGTTGCCGTATGGGCTGAAACACTCCTCATAACTTCAGTGTGAATGGGTGAAGCTAAACTGTTATAGGCTGAATATGGATATATGTAAATCTGTTGGTTTTCGTGTCATCACAAAAATACTGAATTCAGAATGGGTTGTTTTTGCATTTTAGTTTCCATATATGGACAGTATAAACTGGGGAATGGAATTTTAACAGTTTTGAAATTTTAATGAGGCTTCTTGTGTCTTTACATAGTTTCCAACATGTAGGCAGAAGCCCAAATGAAAGTTACTCACAGAATACAAAGTTGTTCTTTCTTTGTATTGCAGACACCAGCTCCCTCAGAAGTCACATTAGCAGCACAGAGCTGTGCGGAGAGACGCGCTTCTGGCACGGCAAAGACTACTGCAACTTTATCCTCAAAGACTGGGTTAAGCTCAACAAACCTTTTGATGGTACGACACTGTTTGCATCAAACTTTAAGCAGAGCACAGTGCATCTCAAAAATAACAACTGTTCTGTCCTCCAATTCTCTCGTAGTCCTCAGGCCAATGTATTTTGACTAGTGAAGCACAGAATACCCTCACCCATCCCAGAAGGACATGATTTTTTTTTCCTATAACCCAGCAGCATCATGTCATACAACACAAACAAACCAAGAAACTGAACAAGAAATGAGAAGCTCCACTACAGTATACGTTTGATACATATCTTTTGATTCCTTCTGTCAGATTCATCAAATGAAGCAATATCTAGCAAACAGAGAAAAGAAGGGGAAAAACAGACAGAAGTTATTGTACTACCTGAGCTGCCTCAAACTATTCCATTCTACAGACAGTAGGGGTTATTGTCAGTTCACAGCATTGTCACTGTCTTTCTCTATTTCTGCATCTCTGCTTTTGTGCATTGCAAGGTCTAGTGCCCACACAGTGATGTCTGGCTATGGCTCAGCAGGAAGATGTGCAGGCCTGACAGATATATACATTACAATATTCTCTCACTTCAGGATGGTGGCACATCCTCACGAACGCCAGCCACAGAGATTAAGGCCCTTCTTTGATCGTCTCAAAGGGGCCCAGGCACCACATTTGTTATGCTGATCAGTGTCACAGAGTCCAGAAAATCCTGTCTTGAGTTAATTCACGACGTGCTCCATTTCATGAACTTCCATTTTAAACTGAGGGTGTCATGCCTTCTGCTATTGATGTTGAAAGGTTATTGTTTGTTTGTGTGCTTTTATCTTGTCAAGATTTCATTGATAGGTATAAAACACCAAGAATGCCCTGGCATGACATTGGAGTGGCTGTTCACGGGAAAGCTGCAAGAGACATTGCCCGACATTTCATTCAGAGGTGGAACTTTACAAAGGTAGGAATAAGATTTTAGCGACACAAAATAATGAGAACCTTGAAACCTGATTCAAGTTTTTGTCTTACATATTCAGGTTGCATTCAGGTTTTACATATTACGTTTCAGTTTTCTCAGGTTTTCTTATGTATTTGGATTTCATTAAATATTTTTGTTTTTGCTATAAATTCAGGTTTCATTCGGTATTCCCAGGTTTTCGTCTTAAGTATTTGGGCTTCATTCAGTGCTCTCAGGTCTTATACATTTAAGTCTCGTTAAATATTTTCAGTTTTAGTGTTACATATATTTAGGTTTTATTCGGTATCTTGTTTTCATCCTTGTTTTCATTCAGTATTTTCAGATTTTTTTTCCCCTTAAATGTTCTTCATATATGCTACATTTTATTATTGCATTTTATTTTATACGCTGTACTTCAGTTCTGCACAGTCCTACTACCACTGTTAGTAACGTAGTAGTAGTAGTAGTAGTAGTAGTAATAATAATAACAATAATAATAATAATAATAATAATAATTTTCTGGTCATTTCCTTTAGTGCTAAAAACTAAAAATCGGGCACAATTAAAGATCAGAAAACATACATGAACCACAGCTTCCCCCCTTCCCCAAGCTCTTGTAGTCTTTTTAAAGTGATCTTTATTAGCTTGAGCTTAGCACCCCCTGCAGTTGTGCATTGTGTCTTGTTCTGAATGCCGTCAGCGTTCAATGGCGGGCCTGCTCTCCCGCCTCCCTTTTAAAGCAATTAGAGGCCTTTTTACTTTGATTGTTCGGTAATTGAATTGGTTTGAGGCCTGTATGATTTCCTTTGCAATATGCCAGTCATATTTCAGGCTTGGCTACAGATCAGACACTCTCCTGGTGAATAATTAAAGTGGAGGGAGCCAGGTGTGTGCACAGCGCAGGAGGGCAAACAAAAGGCGGCTGAATGCTTCTGATGAGGTGTTTAGGGGAAATGAGAATTCTCTGCTCAAAGACAGTGCACTCTCATTTATTTCCTTTGGTGCCAGTTGACTGGTGCTGATTAGAGAACGGCACTCTGCTATTTTCTGTATTCATCATGACCACAAAGAAAGAATGTCAAAGTGAGAACAATTCAATCAGTAATGAGAGTATGAGACAGTATGAGATATGGCTATATTAGAGCATTTAGGACCTTTTACCTCATGGGCTTTTTGTTGCTTTTTCTGACTGATCACTGATTTCTCATCAGTATTTCATTGCATGACTTCTTGCTTTTTTGTAGTAGTTGTTGTCTAATTCACAGTCAAAAGCAGCTGTTAAGTGGTTATAAAAACTCTGTTTCAAACTTATTAACATTAAATATATGCCTATTCACCTTGGCTTAATATGCACTCTTAAAAATAAAAGTACATGATGCCATAGAAGAACCACTTTTGGTTCCCTAAAGAACCTTTTAATGGACGGAGAAGTGTGTAAGTAACTTTTAAGTTTAAAGAACCTCCACATAATGTAAAGGGTTATAGGAAGAGGCCTAGAATTGTTGTAGAACCATTATATTATGTAAAGATTCTTTACCTATCCATGATGCTAGTCCACTAGATATTTCCAACTGAGCAAATTTTTATATTATTAATCAAGTAACATCAGTTAGCTTAGTCAGTTCTCATTACAGTGAGGTATGTTTGCTTTTGTCTGTAAAGTCTTATGGACACAACCATGATTTGTCAACTACAGTGTACACTGAGCACCTTCAACACACAACCTAATTAGTGCTTCAAGTGAATCCACCAGATACAAACTGAAACTGAGTTAGAGCACTCTTTTTGATGGTAGACGGTGCATACTACAATAGCCCATTATACAGACACTGACAACAAAACCCTGAAGCAGTAGCCACACTCCATCACTACACCCAACACCTACACAGCTCTCTTAAATGCCAGTCCAGTCTCAAATATACAGGCTATCTTTGGAGGCTGTGGTGATTTAGATGCTGCGATTCTCCATCAAGGTCAGAGCAGTTTGGGCTGCCACTCGGATAGCTGCCAACATCCCGCGAGTCCAGTTAAGATCAGTCCTCCCTTCAGGACTCAATAGGTTTTAATCAACACATTATGCCAGTTGTTAATTGCCCGAGCTACCTGCTGCTAAAATAAATTCAATACTTTTATTGTATTAGTAACCATCTGTTTAAAAACACCAGGCCCAGATTACTGTTTAGCCTGCGGTCAGTGTTGACATGGAGTACAGCTTGCTAATTTGCACGGCAAGCACTTCCTTCGAGAGGGGTGAGAACATTCAAGTGTGAAATGTAGAGCAAAGAAAGCATTGTAGAGACCCAGGCTGACTTCAGCTAATTAAATTGTGAAAAACAAATATCAGGTTTTTAGTACAAGGTCAAGATTGAGCCATGCTTCGGGAAGTTTCTTTTGAAAGAGAGCTGATCTACAGTGATGTGAATTGATGTACACATAGAAATGATTGTAAATAAAGGGGAAAATCTCTGCATTATTAAATTGTTAAAATGTAAACAAAGTATTTCAAAATGTATTTTCTTGAGAGATTTACTGAGTCAGAATTGTCCACAGTCAGACATCTGAAGTGTTTAATGCCTCTTAAAGCTAAGTGGTTAGGAATAAGCTGCCTGATGTCCAAGACATTGTTTCATGACAGTTTTGAGAGAGGTTTGGTCTAAAAGTTTTAGGCCAAAACCATATTCCATTTTTAAATTAATTATTGGCAGAGAAGTACAATGCAGGGTGTTGTAAGACAAAACATTACCCAAGGAAAACTTATATTTTCAGATTTACCAGTGTTTTACCATTATTCACATGACGTATACAAATTCAGTAGACCCATTAGGATTCACTGGTTCACTGGTTGTTTTGCACAGTAAATAAAGCGGCTGTGTTTGCATTATAGATATTGTGACCCCTGGTTCACATTACCACCATTGTAAAGAAATCAGAGTTGGTGAGTTTCTCTACAGCGCACCACTCTGAATGACCTTGTTTACATATCAATAATAAAATTATGCATAATAATTATGCAATTTAATAATTTTGAAAAATCAATCAAATTTCTCATTAAGATCCAACATCTTTGCTCTGTACTTGTGTTAAAGCTTACACGCTTCTTTCTTAAGAAAAATAAAATTAAAGAATAAAACCTAGCTTGACCTGTCCCGTGATACAGGTGAAAGCAGTCTGAGTCTAGTCTGGTAAGGACAATAGGCATCATAAATGCGGTTTGAAAATGTCTTTAGCCTCATGGCCTTGCGTTTATTGCAATCAGACATACTGTTAAGGACAAAAAGAGGCCACAGTGACTTTCATTCAGCCTCAAGCAAGTCTCATGAGGAGCTCTTCCAGTGGGCCGGGTCGATGGTCAGCCCGTCAGGCCGTGTGGACCGCTGGGGTAATTAGCACTCTTTAAGGGTGTGATTGGGGAGTCAACAAGCCGCGTGCTGTCTGGTTTTAATCAGCTCTCCTTTATTTGCTAGCTGGTGAAGAAGCGTTCAGGGGCGACGGGTTATCCCTGCCTCATGCCCAAGTCTCTCTCTGCACCCAGTGAGCTGCCAGAGATGAGGGTTAAACATACACAGGCCAACGTGCAGGTGAGGATCATCTCCTGAATCAAAGACTGCAACACAATGTCTCTTATGTGGAAGATAATAGTGCAACCATATGAGCTGCTATTTTGTTTTTTCAGAAGTCTGTAATAGCAACCCCATTTGTCCAAAAGCATCCAGAGATCCAAATCAAGCATATTAACCAGGAGTCTGTCCTTTTTTGCTGCAGTAAAAGCCTCTACTCTTCTGGGAAGGCCTTGTGCTTGATCTTGGGACATTGCTGCAGGCATTTGATTACATTCAGGCACTGATGTTGGCCAATTAATCTGGCTCACAAATGGCACTCCAGCAGGCATATTGACAAATGCATTCTTTTTTTGGGGACTACATAGCATTGTGTTTTCAGTAACGCAGTGTTATGGGAACTATGGAAACAACAACAATTTACTAACTGATACAACAGTTTTGTAACTGCTGCTCAGCATTGTGCATGGTGACCTAGGCTCATGCTCATCTGCCTTCAAAGTATCCAATTCTATTGTCAGTGTTTTTGCATGATGATTACACTGCATGTTCCAGATTGCATGTTTTTTTCTTCTTGGAGAGCTCAAATTACATATTTAGTTGTAAATGTGCATTGATTTGGTTTGAAATTATAGGTTTTGAGGTCTGTGTGCCAGTGGTCCATAGGCACAAAAGTGCATGAGGAATCCATTCATCTGGCCTACATCTCAGCCATTCAGAACAGCAAACACTTCATCTACATAGAGGTAGGACAATCAACTTTAAAACTGTTTTTAACTAAATTTGTTAATATAATTCAAATATACCGTGCATGTACATAGTATATGATATAGTATTTAATACATAAATGGTAAGAAAAACATTTGAATACAGATCACTCTAAAGATTTTTCTTTGTGAGGCTTCACACATACAATAAATATATTATGCTATATTAATATATACCAACTTTTTATATATTTTATTTTTTTTTATTATTACTTCAATATATATACCTGCTATACATTAGTTAGAACAGTCTGTAGAACTGAGCACACATTAAACTGTTCTGTGTCACAGAACCAGTTCTTCATCAGCTGTGCTGACAAGACCATCCACAACTGTATTGGAGATGCCCTAACTGAGAGAATCCTTCGAGCATACAGGTGTGGACATATCCCTCTCTCTCACTGCCTCTGCATCAGCCCAACTTAATATCCCTCCTTTACTGTAAGACACTTATCAGCCTGGCCTAGTAGTCTGCTCTGACAGTTGAATGGTTTCTGACTCATGCATTGGTCTTCTGCAGGGAGAAGAAAAAGTTCAGGGTTTACGTGGTGATGCCTCTGCTGCCCGGCTTTGAAGGCGACATCTCCTCTGGAGGGGGCCAAGCCATCAAGGCAATCATGTACTTTAATTACAGGTAATCACCAGCACATGCTTCATCTGTAATCGCCAAATTGCCTCAATTAAAGGCTGGACACCACACTTTCTGCAAATTATACGCTGGTAATGCGGAAACAATGTAGGTCCTCCCTGTCGTAAGCTTCGTAGAGGCCATTACAGGCTGAACTGGGGGGGTTGATCACTGGCTTTTGGTGAGTGAGAAGTGATTGGTCAGGAGAAGTAAAGTATGTAATTGACCTATCTGTGCTCCATCCACAAGCGTGTTCATTCGTAGTTACTCTTGGTTTAACGAACTTTACAGAACACTGACAAATATCTCATTCAAACTAACAAGAAACACTGTATTTCTGTTACAGTGCATTGCCTATTTTGTTATATAATTGTTTTTTTAGGAACAAACAACGGATTTATAGACAGAAAGTAGGTTTTGTAGGTCCTGCCTACTTCAGATGTTTTAACACTGCCAGGCGGTTAGTGTTGTCACCTACACAATTAACTACCGTAGGAAGTCCCCAGACTGCATCTTTTCACCATATTGCATAGGATATGTATAGCTCAATTAGACAACACCACCTGACCCCGTATTCAGAAAGTTTGAGTAGAAGTGTAGATCTAGGACCAGATTCCACTCAATTTTTATTATGCTTTAGGAATACAGGTTCTGAACTGACCTTAGTTTCATGCTGCAATTTCTCATTAGGTTGAATGGGAAGTTTGCCAATATTTTGTGAAGCTTATCCATTCCAGTCCAACAGCAGCTATGAAAGAATGCATCTGTGGACAGAGCATGAATAGATAAATTGGTGAAAGGAAGTCCCCATGTGAGAAGAATGACATCAGTCCCTGTCTTTGTATCTTCAGGACCATGTGCAGAGGTGATTACTCCATTATCGAGAGACTCAAATGTGTGAGTAAGTAAAACTCCTTCAGTTTCCATGTCTTTCGCCATCTAACAACTTTCCTGACTCATGTACCCAATAATACACTACTGCTGGACGAATAAAGCACTAAAGAAGGCTCTTTTCAACTGATTATAATTGATTTATGGTGATCAGTGGTGAGTTTAATGCAAAATTCTTTGTTTACTGTACACTGCAAAAATGGTATCTTGGCAAGTGAAATCAACTTCAATCTAGTAAATATATCTAATATTTCTGTTTTTAAGACTTATGTAGGAATATAAAAAATGTATAACATTTTAGATATTTTTACTTACAGGGAGATGATTTTGCTTGTTTCAAACATTATTTCTTGAAACAAACTAAATTGTCTGGCAGTATGTCATGAAGCAAGCAAAATTATCAGTCAGTAGAATAAGACAATATCTATAGACAGAATTGCTTAAAACAAGTAAAAGTGTCTAGAAATAAACTGCATAATTTTCATAATATTCTTACAACAATCTCATAATAAGACATATATGGTATACTGACTAGATTTAAGATGTGGATACGTTGCATTTAATCACAGTTCATGGCAGCTAGTTTAGCTGTTACAAACTGCCTGAAAAGAAGCTTTATATTAACTTAATCTGATGAATTGTCAAACTAGTCACCTGGAAGCTGAGGTTTGATGAGCAGAAGGAGTGACTATATGCATGTTTATGTGTGTCCATATGTCAATGCAGTGTCAGACTGCTGGATCAACTACATCTCATTCTGTGGCTTGCGCACGCATGCTGATCTGGACGGGCGCCTGGTCACTGAACTCATCTATGTTCACAGCAAGCTCATGATCGTGGATGACTGCACTGTCATCATTGGTTAGTTGAACTATTGTCAAACAAGCAGAGTATATGTGTTATATACAGAAATCAAACACAGAAGTTAATATGTACAAGTAAATATTAGCTTCATATTGATGCTCTGTAGTCTGTTTGTTCCAGCAGCACAGCTAATTATTTCTCCAGCACAACAAATAAGCTTAATATTATGATCAGTTCACTGCACTGTCAGGCTAATGAATATACCTGCAGGGCTTGGCTTCTGAGCAGTGAGCTGAATTTGTGTGTTTGAATGGATTGTATTGTAATATACAAGATGGCCAGTAGATGGCAGTAGTGTCTAATGTAAGCCATGCTGTTCATGACGCGTCCTTCTGGACATGTTGTTAATAACATCCTCAGATGTTCAGCAGAAAATACAAACCCCCTTCGTCAATCACTATATGTATTCTGAAGCCTAACTCCGTGTCTGTATGTAGCCCCACACTTCAATTGCTCATTGTCATAGCTATGTTCCACAATACCCTGAAAAAATAGTGTTTTAGATTTGGATGATTCAAATGTGTTAAATGGTTGCATGATTACAGTGTATTACATAAACACACATGCTGTTTTTCAGTTTACTTTTAGCAAGAACAGTGTTGCTGCAACATGCATGTACTACCATTTGATTTTTTTTTGTCTTTTTTTTTGTTACTCCCAATACTCATAACAGCTGCTTACGAGTAAGATTAAGATCAATAACAGAAGTGTAGACCTTGAGGAGTAAAGAGTCCTGTTGTCTGTGATTGTGCTCAGTGAGGGTGGGTTGCTGTCTGTGCTTTTTGCAGGCTCTGCTAACATCAATGACCGAAGCATGCTGGGTAAGAGAGACAGTGAGATGGCGGTGGTGGTGGAGGACATGGAGTTCCAGGACTCACTCATGGATGGAGAGATTTACCAGGCTGGCAGCTTTGCCTTGTCGCTAAGAGTGGAGTGTTTCAGGTGGGTCTAACTGCATGTTACATTTTTTTTTTCCTTCAGCTATTGTTTTGTATTATTTTAGTTTATTTGAATATTTATGTAAGTATTAAACTGTACATCATTACATTGCAACAGTACAAAGCAATACTTGTAATATCATGCAGGCTTATACAGTTTTCAGTATTAAAAATGTTCAGTTCATTAATTAATGATTATTTTGATTAGTTATTATTAATAAATCCACAGAACTCACAAGTCCAAAGCAATGCATGTACATAATGTTGTTATAGACTGAGAACCTCTAACAAAATTTTCTTACAATTTCACAATTTAGAATGGACAGCAGGGCCCTTATTTAGCTGGGAAAAGAAACACAACAGAGTTCTTTTAGTTTTGCCATGTGACCGAAAGCCTCACCTGCAGGTGCCATACACTGCTTGCTGTGATGAAAGCCTCGCCAGGCATCATGTCCCCATTGAACTTCCTATCCAACACAATGGATATTGGAAACAATGGAGTGTTTCCTGCTAGTGTCACCCTTGGCTTGCTCATTAGGAGCTTGAACCTGCATTTTTGTAAAGCTGCTGTGTGACCACGTCCATTGTAAAAAGCGCTATACAATAAAAATCAAATTCACAATCTCAAAAAATCATGAAACTACCACCTAACCTCAGTACCAAATCCAGTCAGTGAACTGAATCAATGAGTTGTTGAATCTAGTAACTCTTATTTATTTATATATATATATATATATATATGTATGTGTACATGCACAACTTATTTGTCTAATCAAGATAACTTCACAGTAAAATGTAAGTTTTTTGGTTTTCAGCATTTGTTTAGCTGCATTTCTTCAAATGTCATGTTTTTGTTACATTCTTTGTTGTTATATAATGCACACAGACACAGTGAAAGATTGAAACAGACATTTTGAAGGAATCAGTTTGGTAAAATAAGTCCTATTGCTATTTAAGCCTTTAAATCCCTTTGCTATTTAAATTTTACACTGAAATGTCTGTTTAATAACAGTATGCTCATTTTGGTGTGTTGGGTGGAAAATGAGTAAAACCCCAAGCATGATGTATATCTTACCTTGAGCATGTGTTTTAGGCTTGTGCTTGGGTTAATGGGAGACTACAGCATGGACATCAGCGACCCCATCAGTGACCGCTTCTACAAGGAGATTTGGATGGTGACTGCAGCGAGGAATGCCAGTGTTTACGACAAGGTGAATAATCTGTTTAATGGAATGGTGGAAACACTTTCAGCACGCTCCAGTTGGTTAAACCCTTTGGTTCTTTCTTAAAGCATGTACCCTTTCATCACTGAGGTAAAAAAATGGGATTAGTTAATCAATACAGTAAAGACTTTACCTGGACTCTGTCCAACAGACTGCTTTGCCGTGCGATCTGTTTGTGCCAGTGCCTTAAAGAGGACACATGAAAGAACACTTTTTTGCATGTGGAATATATATTATGCAACTGACATACATTCAGTTTAATCTCTCTGCTGGGGCAGGCAAGATTGATGGTGAATTCCCTGAACAGAATTTTTTCCCATTTTTCAACATTTTTTGCATAATTCAATATGTAAGATGCAAACAGTGGTTTGATGTGAACTGCTCTGTTCTAGAGAAACTTAGTCAGAATTGTTCATGGAGGTGGTGATAGGAATGCTAAATGCCTCTAAAATAGGATGCACAATTCCAGTTCTGGAGGGCACAGCACAGTTTGTTCATTTAAGCTGCTCAAACATACCTGATTCCAGTTATCTGTTATTTGTCAGGTTTAGTGAATAGGGCAGTCATCAAAGTGTGAAACTGGTCACCTAGGACCGGAGTTGTGCACTTCTGCTCTAAAAGCTACCTCAGAGAACGTTCTTACATGAAGTACCGTGCAAAGTCAGATATCACCCTACATTAATTTAATTTCCAATCAAATTGGCCATTAAGTACAACTTATTAATTTTTTAAAAGATATTTCTGAGGAGATTAGATGTAAGTTAATTGACTGCCATAACAGTCGAAGAAGTGGAAAAACAAGAGTTTCAAATAATAATTTCAAAAATTAGAGAAATGGGACTCCTAACAACTGTGCAACACCTGGTACCACCAAAACACCAAAAATGTCCCCGTTACATAAAATAGTACTTAAAACCTTCAGCTTTGAAAGGAGGAAAAACAAGCTCCAGTTGTGCTTTAGATGTGGGGAAAAAAAGTCCACAGGTGGTTTCTGTCCATCCTTCCACAGAAGACAGCTCAACATTATGGGTCTGAAAGGATGTGTAGCGGTCAAGAAGCCATTATAGAGCCATTACTGGCTGTGTTCTCAAAACCGTGGACTTGCCACCCTAGAGTCCAGACCTCATCATCACTGAATGTGCTTGGGATTATTTGGATTGTGGATCCAACTTCTAAGACTGAACTCTGAATTGTGGAAAAACACTCCTGCATGTTTCTTTGAAAAACTGAAAGCAAATCTCAAGAAAAGAATGGAAGCTGTAATAAAGGTAAAGTGTAGACACACTAAATACTAAACCAGGGGTCGGCAACATGCAGCTTTACAGCAAAATTAGATTTGTGGATGAAAAATAAAATAATTCTTCTTTGCACTTAAATAAAGCTCTGCTGATTGTTCTAACACAGTTTTAACAATAAATAGTCTTAAACGCTGAAATGAATGTAGCCTACATTTGCTAATTCACCAACCTTTAACTGAATATTGGCATGCAGACTGCAGGTCACACAGCAATGCAGACAGCAGTCTCGCCTAGCTAGTAGGTAACAAAAAGGCAAAGAGAAAGATTTAAGACAAACATCAGTGATTTGGAGACAAACGGACTTATTTGCATTTATAAGCACTACAGCTGGTTTCCTGATAAGTCTATTCTGCAACGAGAAACTGTCAGACACTAAAAAGTCACAAAGCTGAAGTCAGTTTCTCATTCACCAGCTTCTTGTTCCTGTTCCACCTTAAATGGTGCAGCAGTTACATTGTGAGGACCCAGGCACTATTTAAGGTGGAACGGGAAAATTCTAACAAGAAGCTGGTGAATGAGAAGCTGAATTCAGCTTTGTAAAAAGTCGAATGTTGAGAGACATTTTACAAGAAACTTTTTACTTTTGAGTAAAAGTTTTCTGCCAGAGATACGAGAAAAGCAGCTATAGCTGAGCTAAAGCTTAAAGCAGAGCAAATTAAGTCTTCCTTTTCATTTATATTTTTTAGCCTATACTAGAACATTAGCACATACTGAGACATATTTACAGCCTATATAGTAAAATGGGCATGAAATGTTGTGGCTCACAATGTTGATTTTTATTTAAAGGACAAAATGTCTCTTCTTAACATTTGGGTTACGACCCCTGTTAGTAAATAAATGTTTTATTAGGTTGTTGAGATTTGATTTCATGTTACGTCTTTTCTGTACTCCTGACATGGAACAATGAATAACTTGCACTTAATGGACGTTTGACAGGATGTACCTCTAGTGTACCGTTTCACATCAGGAGTTCCCCTTTGAAGATACAACAGTATGACTAAGTCCTGTTGTTGTGTGCACAGGTGTTCCGATGCCTACCTACAGATGCAGTGCTGAACTATAAGATCCTGAGGGAGTACATGTCTCGCTCCTGCATGGCAACTGAAGACCCCATCCAGGCTTGCGCCGAACTCAGGAAGGTACGTGGCTTCCTGGTCCAGTTCCCCTTCTACTTCCTGTCTGAGGAGAACCTCTTTCCTTCCTTAAACTCTAAAGAGGGTATCATGCCCGTGGAGCTGTGGACATAGCCTTATGGGAAATGTAGTAACATGTTACAGTAAAACTTCAGGGTCTCTTCAAAATTTACATACCTAATATATAATTAACTGTCAGTGGTCTTGTATGTTTAAAATTTGATTGTTTTCTTTCTTTTTAGAGACAAAAATGAAACGTATGGCATAGATGTTAAAACTACCTCTTAAAGAAATGTCTAAGCTGGCTTTAAATATGGCTTTTGAAACACCTTAGCTTGCCAAGAGTGCCTAATAGCCTCATGCTTCTCACTCACTTCAGTCTTATTCTCTGTTTAATATGGGCCTTGTGAGATAAACACTGACATGTCTGAAAAATAAATGTAAATAAATGAAAGAGAATGACATTTGTAAACTAACCACATACTGACCATGAATAAAGCTTTTTTTAATCTTTGTCTCTAATAATTTAGCAATTACACCATCACTGCTACAGACAATATTGCAAACAAATAACAAACGTCATACTATTGACAGGCTTTATTATTGAATATTCATTTAAAATCACAGAATACATTTTATAAGTTACAAACTGCATTTTATTTTACAAAATAGATTCATCATGTTTATAAATTAAATAACTTCAATCTTTATTGTAGTACTTTTAAGTTTACACATTCACAGAGACAGAGAATAACAGAGGTACATTCACTGTCTTGTCTGCACAGATGTGCAGTTTAAAGACTGTTTGCCCACTGTATCACAACACAAGATAATTATGTAAATGATGAACAAACATTTTTATAAACCCATGTGAGCAACTCCAGACATTGTGGAAGAAAGAAAGACACTGGCACAAAGACAAACCAAACAGGAGGAACACTGTATGGCTTTTGTGTTGAGTTGGGTTAGACGTATGAGAACATCTGGTGGCACTAAAGCTCTGTTCCCATAAACACTGCATCTGGGTCTGAAACTAGGATTCTGTAACATTACATAATACGTCCTGAGGGCACACAGCAGCTGCTCTTTACATTATTGATGAACAAGCTTGTAAAGATCTTCTGCCAGCAGAAACATGTTCCCTAGATACAGAACAGTGCTCACTAGTAGCGGAATATAAAGACACGTCAGATCCTTAACTTTGTCAAGTATAAATTTCTATATTGATATTACAGACATTAAAGGGAGATTCCACCTTTTTATTTTGGCATAATTCAATCATTTATTTGCTGTGTACATTGACCAGTGTACCTCCACATGGCCTCTGAGTTTTTAATATGTAATGTATGTAAAGTTGTTAATAGTAAAAGTGGTAGTGGTGAGAATCTGGGTACTGTTTTGCTTATACAGTACTCGTTCTGCATGTATCTCTTCATGAATTTATATTAAACATATGTTTTATGCTGAACCTTTAACCATTGTTAATTTCTCAGTCATCAGGCAGTGTATTGACATCCATTCCTTTCAACAGCTTCCTGTGAGTAATGCTTCTAAAAGCTTAAATGCTTTGGATGTCTGGTACCTATTGTGACCACAGTGAACAATTCTGAGTCAGCAAGTTTCTCTAGAATTTCACATCATTCTGAATTACTCTGTTTAGACCATAATGATTTATTAAGGTAGGAATTCTGAAAAATCAGAAAGCAGTGGAATTCCCCTTTAAACAAATTTTAATGATTTCATTATAACTAAAGGTGAATGAGCCTTTTAAGGACTGCCTTTTAAAACACAGATAGCAGGCTGCTTTCGGAAGGGCCTCTTAAGCAGTATGTGATGTTAATATGAAATTTCAGTTGAGACAAAAAGCTATAGCTTTTGGCAGAGGCACAGCCAAATGTAATAATTATTTCTAGACTTTGCATACTTGATCAATGCATAAAATGTTACGTTTAAATGCACATCTCTCCCCAGCCTTTAAAATGTTTATCACATTCCTTAAATAGGTAGGTCATATTGAGTATTACACTGCCACAGAGCTGGACACAGTGAACCAGCAAAAAGGCCTCTGACTGTGTTTACTAGAGTTTCTGTGCACGTGCATGTTTGATGCTACAGAACCTCAAAGATCAATGAGGTCGTCACCACTCTCATCACTCTCCACAGTCAGCTGTCGAGTCCACCACTTTTTGACCTCTGATCCAGAGGAGGCTTCGTCACTAACTGGATTCATCTTGCACACCATGGACTTAACACTAGTGCGCCCTGAGAAAGAAGCCAAGCACACGAATCAACGTGAATGCTGAGAATGAGTAACTATTAAAAAGGTTTGGAAGCAGACAAATGATCATTAGTTATTGATAAGGAGAAAGTAAACTAATAAGGAGAATATATAACGTCTTGAACAGCATATGTGATTTTTCAGAGGTTCATGCAGGGTGAAGATTTTACAGACCCCCAAAATATTAGTTACTATTGCCTGTGTAAATGCAACTGTAATGCTTACTCTTGTCTGAGTATTTTCGGGCCTACTGTGAGGTGTTAGCAATGTTTTCCTGCATACACCCTATTCAGAATCTGCACTTCATCACAAAGTCCAAATGTAACCAACTCTAGCATCTCAAAGACCCCACAGAGAGCCTGTGTATTTGTACACAGCATGGAGGATCAGACTATAGACTGAACAGTGGAAGGATGTTTTTAAAAAAAGCATTTAAAGATCACATGGATGGTGGAGCTGTGAGGGACATTGATTTACTCCCTGAAATGATTGTGCAGATTTTTATTGCATTTTATTAACAAAAGGAATTTTTATAAACATTGTTCAGCCTATGGCAGGAATAAAGCTTCAGTTAAATTTATTATAAAATGAGCATTACAAAAATTACACTTTCTTAAAATGTTCTTAATTTCCAGCTCCAACTTTAAAATTTTCAGTAACACTAATTTCTTTTTAGTCTTGTGAACATCTGCTTCCTCTTGCTGGTAATTGGATGCTCCTGCATTATCAGAGGCTAATGAGTACTGCTGAACATTACAGGCTCTCTAAGGAACATCACAACCATACAATATTTAAAATGCTATAATCCCACCATTGGTAAACTTTTGTTTTAAAAACTAAAACGGTTTTACTACAGAGAATCAATTTCTAAAATGATGGTGCTGATCCATTGCTGCTAATTTGCCTAAGTTAGGTCCATTACAGGAGCCCCCCACCCAACGGGAGGCAGTAACAGGAGTCTTTCTTTTGGTTAGAGGTAATAGGTAATGTAATATTCTGTTGGTTTCTGTATATATATCGATTCATATTCTGTACAAAATGATTATCTAGATTTACACTGTACTGTTCTGAACTTTACCTGCTGTCATGTGTATTTTACACGTTACTAACTAATCTATCTGAACAGATAAAAGTTAGTTTAGTATTAAATATTGATGATTTCAATTATTTAGTCTAATTATAAATTATTTCTCCAGGTCTGTGACATGAAAATAGTGTATGAACAACAACAAAAAAGTAGAGGATATAAGGACACACTGTACAGAGTTATATTTTATGGCATTTTATACTACACAGTTTAAGTATTATGTTTAAGTATTAGGTATTATTTGTATTAAATATTGTTTGCATTCCTAAAACAAACATCTGTAAATGTTTTAAATAATAATTTCTGATTCTTCTTCTTTGCTAAACTAATTTATCGCTTTATCTGCACTTGACTCTCTGGGCTGTTTAAATATTTTATGCATGTGCGTGATCCTTGATTACTGAATCGTGGCTTGAATTAGCAGGATTTTATTGGAACACACTGAGCCTGGAGTGAACTGTTTGGCTAATTTAAGTAAGGCTAATTCAAATAAGCATGGCTTTTATAAGCTTGCTTTGTGGAATACCCCCATGATTCCACTCAAAGTTTGTAGTAGTGTCTAGCCATCTCCATGTGCTTAACTTTATGGTTAGATGAACGATGATGTTAAATTCTGAACTGCCTTCCAAATAGTTTGCTGGTATTGAGGTGGCATGTAATTATATTTCTGGACTTGGTGACCACAAAATGTTATCATCTTCTGCAAATCTGTGATCTGTGATCCTTAGAGAAATTTTCCAGACAGGTTCACTGTAGCTCCTGTTGTTTTAAACTTCTTAATTACTGTGAATTATTGTAAAAGTGAAAATGGACATGTTCTGGCGTATAGCTATTTTTGCCTGATTTGTATTCTCTAATATTGCCCATGTTCATGAAAAACTAAGGAAATTTGGCCTCCTCATATTTGTACATCGGTGAAACAAGAAGTCACTGATAACCACTGAAGAGTTTTCATTTTTAAACCTATCTTTACCAAGGGTGCAAAATTTTTTATTTTATTTTATTTTTTTAATTTGTAACATTTTCATCAAGTGATGCATTATTTTATCACCTTTAGAATCAAGTGAATCTGTTAGTCATGCACAAAAAAGAAATGTAATGGATTTGAAGTGCTGATAGATCATCTATAAGAGTGTTTGTGTGGGATGTCTGACCTGTGGGCAGCCTCCATTGGCCCAGTTTTCTCTGGGGCCGATCACCTGAGTCCTGCCTGAAGCCGCTGCGGTCTGACAGAGTAGGGCTCAGTAGTGTCTGCAGGCCGCTGTTCTGCTGGGCAAAGGCACAGAGAACAGCCATTAAATCGACTGCTTATTGATGCAGAGCGTAGTATGTTTGCTTGCTGCGTAGGTGTGTGTGTATGAGGTACCTCTGGCTGTGTGGGGTTGTCTTGGTTGTTAGCGTTTGTATCATCACTGGGGACAGTGGTCTCAATGCTGGGGGGGTTCAGCAGGCGTCGCAGGTCTTGCTGCTGGCTCTCACGCAGACTCAGGATGATACTGCACGACTGCTGCTGCTTCTGAAAGTGCGTGAGCAACAGCTCATCAGCCAGCATACAACACAGCATCTGAATCAGCATAAGACAAATTCTAATTTAATGTGCATCATCTTCAGTACATTAAATTAACCATGCCTGTGCAAAAACTACAGCAATGGAGTTTTGGAAGAAAATGGAAAGGTAATGGAAGAAAAATGGTAATGGAAGAAAATAGTGTAAATTCTGTTTTGTAACAAAGTTTTGTTTTGATACTTGATACAGCTAACAGCTAATGGAAATGGAAACTAATGTACAGCAACTAGCACTGAGCAAGCTGCAGGCCTAAATCATCACATCTGACCTACTGTTATTTATGTAAATGGACAAATGTATGGACAAAATTCATTCTTCACAATGGATACTACTACTGTTTTTAGCTACGTGACATACTTTCTATCTTTTTTATTTTATAGATAGCAGTATGTCATGCAGTGTTAGAAATCACATAAGCAAGTCTGTTTGAGATCACCTAAGAAGCTGTTTAAGGAAAGTAATGACTTAAGAATGCAGTTTGCCAAGTTTTAACTGGTGGTTACAAGCTTCCATTTAGGCCCATGCACAGACATTTTTGGGGGCTGGAGTTTAAAGGGGGGAAAAAGGGGAGGCATATGAAT